ATTTCCCCGGATTCAGGAACTTGAACCATTTTAAACTAACTTTCAGCTTACTGGTTATAACCTGAATTGAATTTAATTAACATCTGGATTCATTTTCTGACGATGAGAAGCTAGGAGTTAAGGGAAAGATGGAGGGAAGCAATCGAGAAGGAAATGAACATCAGACACAGTGAGACTTATCGCAGATCGTCGGGAGCGCGATATTTGGTGGGATCGACATTAGCTCCAATTTGTAAGAGCAGATACCCAGTGCATTTCGTAGCTGTGGATATGAAAAGTACGAGAATGATCGTGGATCAAGCCTTCTTGGTGCCAAAATGCGTAAGACTAGCGAGAATGTCAGAAAAGTCTTACGAGTTACTGTGTAAAATATTCTCAGCGGTTCCGGAGAGAACTAAAGAAAAGTTAGAGTCCATACTGGGAAGGAAGTTCATCGGATACGCCAGTGGGAACTTCAGTGACTTTGAGAGACAGAAGCAGAAAGGATCAACCGTCACGGATTACAATGCGGTAGATGAAAATGATGAAATCCACCGAGTAATGATGGAAGTGGAACCACTACTGGAAGCTTCGGGAAAGCGTAATTGGAGGAGCATCATGTGAACACATGATGAGTTTCCCTGCCATTGTTTGTTGCAAACATGGTGGTACCCCGGGCGTAGTAATCTAGTGTTGATCTGGGACTGTGGAGAGCTGCTCTCTATGGGTTTACCAGACTCATCAGGGCCCATAACGATAGTGATAGTGGGAGTTATGATGGCGATACGATGGCTGGAAGCTCATGTAAGGGAGAACAATACACAGAAGGCGCCAACGAGAGAACAATTGCAGAAATTGGATTGTCTATAAGATTTATATCTTTTTGAGACAAGGTGCAAAATCTTGAACATTCCGATGGAAGTGAAAAAGATATGGACCAAAAGACGTCTGATGCCATGGTTTAGAGCCAACATGACTGCATGGTTGTACGGACATGCTAAGAAGCATATGTCGAAGCACAGCAGTGTGTACAGTGCGTATCAACTGGACATTGGGGCATGAGCTTTCAAGCGAGCTTTTGTAACTCATCGGAATGCAGTGACCACCGCAGTGAAGAGAACTTCCAGGACGAGTGAATTTAACGGAAGGGAGAAAGAAGAGATCTTGAAGGAAGATCTGGAGAGAAACGTGACGTTGTGTCTCCACAACAGCTTCTGCAGGAACAGAGAATCTAACGTTGATCCTCTACCTTGTAGTAAACAAAGAGTAGAAGAGCAGAAGTATTGGAGGACTGCTTTCAACAGCGTCAGAATAGCTACCGATGTGTTGCAAGACACAGAAACTAAAAGTGCAGAGTCAATGTCGCAGGAGGAGGAGATGGAACATTGACAGAATGGTCGAAAAAGAAAATGCAAAAAAAAACGAAATTAGAAAAATTTCGAATTTTAAGAACTTATAAACGACGAAAAAATAAAAAACAAAGAAGTGATGAAAGAGAAGAAGTTGAAACTCAGAATTGTTTTGTATGTGACGAAAAACCCAAATGAGAAACAAAGCAACCAAGTTGTAATTGAAACTGAAAGAAAACATTTAGTTGAATTTTGAACATTAAAAGAATTTGTTCCTTTTATAAATTTGCATTTTGATTTTAGTTAGTGGCTTTAGAGACACTTACTATTTATTTATAAAGGCTTGAGTGAGACATATTTAAATATTCCAGCATGCAAGATTGTTTTTAATCAACTAGGACGATTTATCACTTTGTGATGACATGAAAAGCTTGGGTAATCTCTTGAAGAGGGAGATTATTTCATTGTTCTTTCTAACCACAGAGTTCCTTAATTTTAATGTTCAGGACCAATAACAACTAAAATTTCCGAAAGGAAGAAGCATAGTAGGATCATTTTAGCTTGTTGGTTGGCAGGACTCTCCTGCAAACTAACACCTTTTAACACCTAGGAGAAAAAATTTTAAATCAGGGCATTGACATTGGAAGTCGGAAAAATATTTTATCTTAAGTCATATCCTCGAACGTGCAGATTAATGAAAGAATTTGGAAGGCTATGGTGATGTAGTATGATGCCATGTATATTCTGCAGTGAGTCGATATGACGTGGTTAAAAGTGATTTCGTGCATTTTGTAAATTCTGTTCAATGGCACTACCATTTTTACGAAGACTACGAGATTCAATGGGGAGATCGACCGGGCTGTCCGGGGAGTATGTAACATTCGACCAGAATTGACAAAAAGACAGTTTCGAAGGGTTGGCGGCTAGCCTGGAGAATTGGCAGTTTTAGAGGATTAACAGCGTTATTCAGACGACTAGACAAATCGTGAAGGCTAGAAGATCCTGGAATTTTTTTTTTTTAAATTTCGAATGATGACGTCAGATTTTCTGAGAAACGTCAAGAACGGCGATTTTGGCTGAAATCCAAAATAAAACAGAACAACGATAGAAGTTGCGAAAACAACAACGACGATACTAGTGAGAAAAACAGCCATGAGAGATAGAAGAATACGACACAGTATTAGCAGAGACCGCTCCGAGTTGCAACGATTGTGTCGCTACAATCGTTGCATGGCCATTCACACTAACGGTGAAGGGTGGAAACCAGCCTTCCGGAGAGGAAATAAGGGTGTTATTTCCCCGGATTCAGGAACTTCAACCATTTTAAACTAACTTTCAGCTTCCTGGTTATAACCTGAATTGAATTTAATTAACATCTGGATTCATTTTCTGACGATGAGAAGCTAGGAGTTAAGGGAAAGATGATGATTTTTATCTACTGAACTAAAACAATAGTAATATAATAAATAGTAGTAGCCCTGTTTTTACGAGTGACCTCGTGGTCTTGAGATACTGAGACCCAGCCATGAGCTCACTAATTTTGCATGTAAGTAAGTTAATTTGAGCGTTCTGGTCGAAGCCGGAGAACAGTAACGTTTTTGTCGACCCGATGGTAGAAAGACCACCAAAAGAACTGGCTTTGGTAGAGACGGTGAAAAGAATGTGGAGCTTTGTTTAGACGCTGGCCAGTCGTTTTATAGCTTAGCTTTAATTTCCGTCGATATGTACTTCCGGGCGAAGGTTACAATTTGTAAAGTTTCGATTGGTGGAATTTTTTTAATTTTTGAAATAACGAAGTGTATGACACTTTTTATGATCTTTGATCATTTTGTACAGATAGTTTAGAATTTATGAAACCTGAAGATGCACAAAATGTGCGAAAACGTTTGTTTGAAATTACAATTTTAACGCATTCTCAAAAATGTAATTAGAAAAATAGCTAATTTTGTTTGGTTTTGTTCGTCATGCTTTGATTATAAAAAACCTAGACGCCGGATGTGTTATATTTCTTTCTGAAAAATGTGGATGGTACCATGATAACTATGACAGTATATCCGAATGAATAGTTATACGCGTCAAACAAATGACATACTAATCTACAGTTAAATTTTGAACAGTCTAACGAGAAGGGTAACTTAGTTTTTGGGGAATTGAATGTAAGGGTGGATTCTCGGAAATATCTTATCTGTGGATGGTATTAAAAGTCAAGTGATACAGGGCAAAATCTTAATTTTAGGAATGCACAATAAAGAAACATAATATAAATTATAGTTCAAAGTGGAATAAGTTTGAAGAGGCCATGAAAGTAAACAGAAAATAATGGGTTGACAACCACTACAAAGGAACTTAAAATGATAAGATCGCGTTGAGGAGACTTGATAGAAAAGTCTACAGGAGCCTTGACAAGGCTGAAAATCAAGAGGGGATCGACTATAAAGACACATCACCCATTGCGGTGCAGTACCGAGCTGGCTGAAAACCTCTCTACTATCCTTAAAGTATTCTTTTTCGCGTGACTTAAAATCATAAATGGATTACAAGATTTCATTTAATCGGTGTAATTCAACCTATGTTGGACAAACGGTTGACAGCTTACTACTAAAGTAGACGATCACCGAAAAGAGGACTCACCCCCTGGGCTGGGCAACCGCTAAGGCTGTGTGGAAATGAGGGCACGATTGCGGGAACCAGAAAACCAGAATGAACTTTGTCTGTTAGCTCGTGAGATGCCGGTTGGCCGAAGCGGCATTTTAGTATAGATTTTAGATTAGATCATCACAAGGTAGATTTTTACGCTCTGCAGTTCATGAACTCATGGCGCTCGGAAATTCAGGGGGCCCCGCCAACAGTATACCGGAAAAGGTGAAAGGAATCGATGATAATCATCAAAACTATTTCAAAAAAAAAATGTATTGAACGATTTACGACTTGACCGTTTAGCTCTGTGCTTTTATTCTCCTCAAGTCGCTAGAAAACAATGAACTTGAGTCCTTTTTTCACAAATATTTCCTTGACTGGTTGATTTTTTTTAAATCTGACTTTTGAGTCATCATTAGTGTTGTTATATCTACTTTTGAATTATCAGTTTTTATTAGCAGTTTGCAGTCATTTTTCAGCGCCTGAACATCACTTGTTTTTATAATTTTCTAGGCAGCTTCTTGCAGTCATTTTTTCAGCGCCTTAGCACCACTTGTTTTCATATATTTGTAGAGCAAGTGATGCGAACGTCCACTTTAATCTAAGAAAAATAATTCAATAAATACGTGAACTCTGTTTGAAGGTATCACGTTGAGCCTCACATGTTAAGGACGACTAGTCTAATCGGTAAAGGTAAAATGGACCTTATTTAATGTTAGATGATATAATTACCCGCAGGTAAAAAAGATAACCGCAGAATCAACATATTTTACTTCCAGTGCATATTTAGACTTTGACCTGTGCTGCTGATTTATGATTTAGATCAAACACGATTTTGTTCAGACTCCATCATAATTAATGAAATGATTTCAAGTACTTCTAATTTTATTCATGCGTCGATTATCAAATGTAGTAATAACTGACACTTTAATAAGCTTTCAGTACGAGATGCGTTACGGCTTTGCGTTCACTCAAATGTGATAAAGGTAATCCGGCAGTATCTTTAATGGGTTTCCTCATTTTAGTTTAAGTTTTAGTTTAAAATGTCTATCACAAGGGTTTGGACTACAAAGCGAGAAATCCGGCTTCCAAATAAACTTAAATTCACAACCAATCATCTAGGGGAGAAGAAATAATCGAATCAGTAGATGTGTTGGCAATGGTCAATTGCACTTTTGTGCCGGCAAATATATACCAACTATCATCTTTTTTAAACAGCAACCAGAAAAAATCAATCATCTACTACAAACAGTCCTTAATTGGTTCGGTTTTTATTGCAATGTCGTTCTTTCCTTCACCCAACTCACCACGAAGCTGCAATTCTAATTCAGCGAACAACCCGTCTGATGTCTCATCACCTGAGTCTGATCGCCAATCGAATTCAGGTTCGAGCAACAAATCACAGTCACAGCCTATTCCACTGCTACAAACCGGTCACGCGTATCGAGCAACACAAGAGGAGCATGGCGCGTCGTCATCTCTGGCGGGAAGTTTGGAGAGCAATACTGCTGCAAGTTTAAATCAATCACCAGCAAGGAATCGGTTCACATTGAGCAAGCGTAGATCAAAAATTGAACTCGGTTCAAGGTCTGTGCCGAAAAATATGTTAAGTTCAATTTCAGTGCCTGATAACATGCCTGGACCAAGTTCTCTTCCCACGTCAGCAACCCCACCCAGGCCTCGCTTGGTTAGTGCTTTAAGCTTTTATTGTATATAACAACTCATCCAAAAGTTTTCAACTCGTGATCAGCAAATCGAAGATAATCATTGACTAAAAGAGTATTTTAATGGACGCTTGTCAATATGATTTCAAGGTATATCTTGGTAAATAATTGAAGTGATTAACTTAGTACCCTGTCAAAATTAAGTTTCCAAACTAAGTTATCTATTATATATCTAAATGCGGGCTTCATTATCTCTCCATGCTTAAACTTTTTCAACGTATTATTTTTGAAAACTTTAAAATCCTGACGCAACCAACAATAAAAAATTGGACTCCGAGAAGTCCGAGGAATGTGAAAAAGCACCAAATGATGGAAAATGTTACAAACTTAACACAAAGAACACAAATTTATAGATAAGAACATAAAATGAATCACTTAATGAACGTTTCCGGGCGGGTTCCGCGCTATAATTTTTGCATGTTCAACGACAGATTTTTAAAGATCTTTAAGCTTTGTCGGATAATGCAATGTTTTTAAAATAAAGTTAAATGGTAGTTATAGCTAAGCATCGGCGGCAACTAACAAAAGCATAAGCGGCAACTAACAAATTGTTTTTTACAATAAGTTATCGCCCTCTATAAAGTCAAACTGTTGATTTTTTGTTATTTTTTCCTATAATATTCTTATTAAATCTGATGTCAAAGGTTTACTTGAAACAACATGTTGTTGAAAGCTTATCTTTATAAGTGACGACGCACAATTTTGAGAAAAAGTTATGTCCTTCGAAAAAGTCAAAGTTTTGAAACTCTGACAGTATTTTCAAAACTTTTCGACTCTACTCGAATATTACCGTGCCAATTCTCAGGTGAAGTTTTCTATCGGGAACCCAGTTTCGGAAGTATTGTCTACTTTAGCGGCCACTACCTGCTTTCTTAGAGAAGAAGTTTTGGGTTTCGGAAAATTTTTGAACTTTTGACTGTTTATTGGAAAATCTTTGATTTTTCTTAACTACCCTGGCAAAATCTGAGATAGAAACTCAATCGAAAAACTGGCTCTGTGAATTTTATGCAGAAGCGGCGACTCCGACTCCCTTATATTTTTCTAGAGAAGTTTTTTGTCCTGGGTGGGCAAAATTGCATTATATCAGACATTTTGCTCACTTAGTTTAGAAGAGAAAACGTTGAGAATTTTGGCAAAGTCCAATTTTTGAATTTCTGCATTTCGTTCCGCATCGGATATCAAACATATCAAACACACATTTCCAAAAATCAAAAAATATCAAACACACACTTCCAGCTTTAGCTTGGCCTTTATTGTCTTTTTTCGAGTTATACGAAAATTTGGTCCAGTTTACAGTTAGCAAGTGGTGTGATGATCGGCTTCGCCTGTGTAGGTCGCAATATTTTTTTCAGGAAATCAATTCAAGTTTGTTTGCTTTATGGTAGGCTAATCGATCTCTCCAATTGTGAAAGCAGAGTTGGCGCGAAAAAGGTGATCGATTTCTAGTTTCGAAGGTAAAATTTAGTTTTTAAATTTCAGTGGAATAAAACTTTCTCGTGATAATCCATTTTTCTCAAGTTGACTTAACTTTATCAAAAAAGGCCGATTCTATCAAAACGGGCAACGCTACAATTGTTTTTATTTTTTTCAAACCCACAAAAAACTTGTTTATTCTGAATAAAAATGCCTTCCCACCAAGCGCGGTGTGTTTGAAAATGAAAACATTCTAAATAATATCAAATTGAGATAGAAAGGTTTCCGCATCAGCAAGTTTAATTTTTGAAAGCAACAATTAACAATGATTCGTTTTTTCTTTCAAAAAAGCATCGAAGCAATTTGTCCTTTTTGTATAAGGTGTTCCGCTTTCTATTCAACAAACTGCTATGCAGTGATATGTTGCTTTCCTAGGTTATATATTTTAATGAAATTTATCAATGACTTGCTCTTTTTTCTTTTTTGAAGCGTTTGAGTGATATTTTATGAAAGCTTCGCAGATATTTAAGCTTTTTTCATTGAAGAATAATACCCAATTTTTTGTTACCACATATAGTTCTCTTTCACCAACACAGCTATTCAGTGAATCCTTTTTTCTTACATCATGTAGTTTTTAAAGTTTTTCAATAATTTTTCCTCTCATTTTTTGCAGTGATGTTTTATTTTACTGGTGTCTTCTCAGTTTTTTCACACTTAAAGGTTTGCAGTGGTGTTCCCTTTCTGTAGGTGTTTTTTTTCTATGTTTTCTAAAGCAGGACATCTTGTTTTTGTTTTTTAGTCTGATTTTTTTTATTTTTCAGTGATTTTTCCTCTCATTTTTTCGCAGTGAGTGTTTTTGCTTTTTTGGTTAGCGAAAGCTTTGCCTTGATGTCTTCTTATGTCTTTACACTGAAAGGTTGCAGTCGATTTTTCTTTTTCATTTTTGATGTTTTTCTATAGCTGGAGGTTTTTTGTACAATTTAAGTGTTCGTTGGTATCTTTATCATTTTGATCCTCTGTTCTGTTGAATTGGCGTGATTTATAAAGCGATATATAAACTTCTTATAAATTCAGCCAGTGAAAAAAAAATTATTTTTGATTCAAAAAACTTCTTTTTTATCAATATTTGAATTTTTACTAATCATCTCATTCTGATGGTAGTTTGTTTTGTTGAATCAGTTTGATTTGTGAGTTTTTCTATAGCTCCAGTAACGAAAGAAAAAGTTTAAGTCAATTTTTCAATCTCAGTTTGATTTGTCATCTTATGGTCCTCTGATTTTTTGAGTGCGCGTTCGTTTTGTATTATGATTTGAGCTTTGAAAAATAACATCTGTGGCTTTTTGGGAGAAAAATCTCTTTTCTGATATGTTTTTAAAAAAAAGAAATTGAGGTTATCATGATCTGTATTGCTGAATTAGCCTTATATTTAGGTCTGACATAATGAAACGGCGCCTGTCACTTTCATTTAGAGGAAAGTTAGTTGTTATATTCAAAATCATTTTTAATTAGGTATATGAGCACTTTTTGAGTTCAATTCTAGTCCATTGTTAACATGTCAAATTGTGCTCTCCTAACCGAAAGAGTAATTGGTGCGAAAAATCGTGGAAGGCTTCTCGAAAGTGGAATTTTTAAGGCTTCTCGAAGTTTCGAAAGTTTCTCGAAGTGGAAGGCTTCTCGAAGTTTCGAAAGTGGAATTTTTAAGATTCCCCAATGAAATAAAAACCCATTAATTCAGTTTTCTCGAATTGGTTGTATATATCAAAAATGTGTCAGTCCTAAATTGTTTTTGAAATTCAAAGAGCTGTAAGGTGGTTTCTTTTGTCTTCGAAATTCAAAAGTTGACGTTTTTTTCTCAAAAAACAAGTTTATTTTTTTCCTTGCGTTCATCGAATCTTTTCCAACTTTCTGTTGGCTATGTTTTTATTTGGCAATTTTTCCGCTTTTTAATGCCTATGTGAGGAATATAGGAAAGCGATATGGTGAAAGCGTTTCAGTTTTACCTGTTTTCAAATAGAGTTTGTTGCGGCTTTGAATCTCTCGGTTGAGTTTACCCGGCTTTCTTGCCGGATCTTCGGTTTTAAGCTTTGAATTCCTCTCACTCTTTTTGGAATTACTTTAATTTTTTTGCGGATGGACTTCGATTTAGTTTTTGTCGGAGGCTGTGTTGCCTAGCTTTCTTCCTTCAAGAAAAATCTGAATAATATCTATGCCTTTTTGTTGCTTGTCGGAACTCAGCCAATTGAAACAGTCAATGTTTTCTTTCAATCATTTCTACAATTGACAACAAGCCTCATTTTAACCCCCCTCCCCGAAGGTTTCCTAGAATTTCTTTTCCATGGGGTCTGAGTGTAACGCAATTTGACACATGGAATCCATTTACAGTCACGTTAAATCACTGGTTCTTTTTTAACGGTAATATATGTGGGAAAGGGCCGCTTATCTAACTCTACCCTTGTTGCAGGATCGTCGCTACAGTGGGTGCTCCTTTTCTGATGATGACTCGGATTTCTGTACCGGAGAACCCACCTACCTGTCAGTGGTAGCCCCAATGTCTCCCACATCCCCGTATATCTCCCCCCTTGAAACATCCCCTCCCTCATCTAGGGTGAGTAAAATTATTAGATCAGAAAGAAACAAAGAAAGAATTTATTTATCCGGAAATGTGATATATTTCACATTATGACTTCCAAATAGTTCCTTTCAAATAAAAATTGTAAAGATTTTGAGTACTAATTTGCCTGAAGTTCGATATTTCTGATCATATCAATAAAGAAACCATTTTAGCTGATATTTTTTGGCAGAATTTTTGTTGATTGTAATTCTCTGGTTGTAGTATTTTTTTTAGAGAAACTACTGCTGGTGCTGATTCAAATTATCCGGTCAAAACGAATAAAACTTTACATTTAAAACGCGTTTTGTTCAAATTGGGTTGACTTTGAATTTAAACTGACGAATACAAATAATTCTTAGAGTTTTAGCTGAATTAATATGTTTTATGCATTTCATTTTGCGACAATCGGGAACTAAAATTTACCAAACAAAAACTATCATTTTTGAATTTTTTAGTCAGTCAAAATTGAAGCCAAAACTGTTAATTCAATTACTGAAGAAACTATATCACAATAAGTCTCTCAAATAGCACAATAAAATTTAATAAGTGTACAAACTCCAAAAAGTTGCGCAAATAAAAATTGGTTTGTTAAATAGTAAAAAGACATTTTTTTGTTATCAAACGAAAATAAGGAATTTGAGAAGGTAATAACATGCTTAAACTTAGTTTGCTGTTTGAGGCTCACTGGGCTATAGTTTTGTCGCCAATTGAACAAATAGATTTGGCGTAATTTTTGATTGACTAGAAAAAGCAAAAAAAAAATGTTTTTGGGGCAAAATTTTGAGCGCGAGTTTCGCAAGAAAAATGCACAATTTGTTCTTCTAAAATTCCTGGCAATATTTGTCTTCATCATCTTTGTCTATAATTAACTCAATTTGAGAAAATGCATTTAAAATTTCAAGTCTTATTCATTCTGTCTGGATAGTTTGAATCAGTGCTGTATGTAAACAGGTCGTCATCATGGATAGTTTATTGATTGATTTTCCTTTTTTAGCCAAGTGTGACTTTAACTGTGGATACTTCCAGCAATACTTGTCCTGGTCGAAATGTTATTGCGGCCACTGTCCCCTTTGCTAATGACAAGGTATCCACGAGATACTGGCCTCCTGTTGTCGTCAACAACGAGACCAGAGTCGCAATGAGCAGCACCACCTGGTGTCCGTCTCCTGATGAAAGGTCAAGGTCACTGCCCGATATCTTGAATACCTCGAAGGATTTAGATACTTTGCGCGATGTTGCGGAAACCTGGCACGATGTCACGGATACCTTGGATGATCCTGATAATACGTTGCGTGATGCTGCGGATACTACTATTGATGATGCTACTGTACGGGATAGCTTGCGAAATATGACAAATACTCCGCAAGGTGTAGAAATTGTCCCGATGAGAAGAAATAATACTGAACCTGAAGCTGAATTATCTTCGACGACTCAGAAATCCGGGTCAACTTCAAGCAATTATATGTCCGTTGGGAGTTTTTCGGTGGACTCAGTTGGATACCAGTCGTCGTCACGGAAAGCTAGTTATGATACAGCGCCTGATGGTCTTTTAGCTGTAGCTGATAACTCCAGCAGCATTGTACAAGAGTTCTACGCTCAGTATGATGCCAGATGCGGCATGCACTTCAAACAAGATGCAGTCAGTCGGATTGAAGAAACGAGCGAGTCCACCTCGATTTTGGATACAGCTAGTCGTTGCTCGTCAACAGTTGGAAAAGGTACGAAGTCAACAGGAGGTCAAGATCCAAGTAGGAATCACGATTCGATCGACCAATCGCAAGTTAAGAATGGACCAAGTGGCACGGGGTCTCCGAAATTGAATGGAACAGAAACACGAGGTTCTAATAGAATGAGAGATGGAGCTTATATTTCTCTCGTTAGTGAACTCGCTACTAGTTTAAGTTACTCCAATCAAAGTTCGGAAACAGAAACGTGGGAAACAGAATCTGATAATACAAGTGGTAGCTCATTAAGTACTACAATGGAGTTAAGTTCGCCCGCGAAGCATCCGTCTTCTGCTCAAGGAAGTTTGGAAGAGATCTCTATTGCCACGGGATTAAGTGCGCTGGAGATTAGCTCTAGCACAGAAACTTCTGACAGTTTTCATGAGTCGCAATTCAACAGTTATTTGAGTCCAACTTCTGACTCGACGACCACTGATTCAGAAGACCACAACCAGGATAAACACGGAAAGAATAAACAAGATAAGTTAAGGTAACCATGTTTCTTTAATCGTGAAAGAATGAAGTGGTTTTCCCTTATGAAGGTCCTGGGGATTTTTCAGGAAAAAGTTGTAAAATCTTTTCATCCTAAAATGTGATTTTCTGCTGTTTGAATTTTAATATTTTTAAGTTCATTTCAAATTCTTCTGCTAAAAATTAGTTTAATTACGCTCTCCAATCAGGGAAGTGGAAATGACGCAAAAAAACCGTAAACGACCTCTAGTTTGAAAAGTGGTTATTAAATTCTAGATTTGGGCAAACTACGCATCAGGTAAGCATGAGCGAAGTCCAAAGTTTCTATCGAACCACTGTTGCCCCGTATTATAAGATCAAATTCTTTCTTTTTAGCCCAGAAGAATTGGAGTTGCTTGAAATCAGAGAAACAGATCCAGAGTATTACGCGAAACTCAAGCAATTGAACCATAGTATAAAGGTAACGCAAGACATCAGATACAAACAGAATCACGTCAAGTTTGAAATTTGCCCTGGCCACAAGCGAAGATTTCATGATAATGGTACGCCCCATGAACACAGACATAAAGATTCAAATGTGAACCACGAAGCAAATGAAAAAATCAATGGAATGAACCACGAAAGTGGCGAAACAAACAAGATTAAACTTGAAGTAAACAAAAGAAAAGAAGGAACAAACAACGAAAATACAGCGGTTGACCAGAAAAGTATCAATGAGAACAATGGAAAAGTTTCTGACTGTGAGACGTCGCAAAGTCCGAGCAGCGCATCTTCACTACAAAATTCACCTGCGAGTTCTCCGAAGATGGAGAAAGCGCGAGTAAAAAGCCCTCCATTGCGAAAGTCACTAAAAAGTAGCCCACCGTCGGACACGTCAACTGAGAGTAGTCCAGCGTCGTCCGATAAATCCCCGATGCAGATATTGAGATCACCGAAGCACTACTCCCAAATGAAAGATCCCAAGACTGGTCGGGTTCCAGGAGGTATCTTGAAACCTGAGAGAAAGAAAAAAGTAGAGGTTATGGGTTCAAAACAGGGCAACGGCGGGAGGAACGTGCGGTTCAGAGACTCATCGGGACAACCTTTGACTCATGTTAAAGAGTTTGATGAACACAAAGAGTGGTTGGAACTGGTAGATAAAGATACCTTGGAATACGAAAATAAGCAAGTTTTCAAGTGGGCAAATGATCCTGCAAGACCTAAATTGAAATGTGGATTTGTCCAACCGGCCTCGGACTATTTGAAGTTCAGAGAAAAGCTCTACTCGAACTGCGTGAGCTTGGAAAACGTGGATATTCAGACTGACTGTTTTCTTGCTGGAAGTGTAAAAGTAAAGAACGTCTGTTTCGAAAAGCGAGTTTTCATTCGGATCACGTTCAACTCTTGGAATACCTCGACAGATGTTATATGCACGCATTCAGGTAATTAATGAAAAATGGTTAGATAAACCACAGGAACACTAGACTTCTTCCCTAATTCGTCCTTTTGCTGACACCATTAAAAGTCAGAAAAAACTAATGAATGGGAAAAAAACGTTCAAGTTCCTTGATTGATGGATCAAAATCGTCCATCAAGAAGAAGTAGTTTTTATAAATATCAATAAACGCGTTCTAGACTTTTTCCCGTAAGCAATTTTGTCCATAGGATGACTGAACTTTGTGGTCATCTTCAATGATTTCTACCCATTTTTGTACCCAACTTCTTATAGACGTCTTATTGCTGTAATTCAACAGCTAGATTCATCGACTGAATTGACAAATGTTTTACTGCTAAAATTTTTTTGAGATGTGGGTTGATTTTTTTGTCGGCTTGATTTCGATCCAATTTTTGTCGGCTTACTTGCCGGGTAATTAATTCTGTATTTTTTGATAGATTTTTGAAGTATTTTTTCTTAATTTTCATGAAGGTAAATATAGTTCATGGTTTTCTGGTTTTATAGGCGCCAAAGTGTTTGTTAGAATTAAAACTTTTTTGAACTTATCTGCTGAATTTTTTTTTTTGGCAAAAAATTTCAGTTTTTTTTCGGATGCATGGTTTTTTGATTTTTTTTCTAAAAGTGCTTGAAACTAGTTTGAGTTTTAATTAGTTGAGTGTGTTTTAGGTTTGAGCAATTTTATTTTAAATTTGGTTGAAGTTGATGGTTAAACGTATTGTTTCAATATGTCAAAAAAATTGATACATTTCCAGATTTTTTTGCAAGATTGAATCGACTGTTTTGTCTGCAAAGGAATGTGGCGGCAAGTTCTGCACGTGATTCAGGAGTGTGGCTCTTTGGCTGAAGTTTTTGAAATTTCTTTGTGGTGGATTTTTTATTTCTTTTATTGGCGGATTTTTTAATGTTTTTTATTTGTTGCGATCTAGCTTTTTTACCTTTGCGAATAATTTTCATAATTAATAATTAGTGATGTAATTTGGTTTTTGTAAGTTTTTGGAATTTTTTCTGATTTTCGGCAAGTTTTTTTCTGTAACAAATGTTAGTAATTTTTTGCTTTCATGTTTTTGAAGTTTTGTTTTTCATTTTTTTTCTTTGTGGTTTTATTATAGCAATTAGCGGATTGAGCCTTTCATCTCCGATTGTTCTTGTTGGATATGCAGATTGTTTTGTTGCAAGATTTAATGAAAAATTTTCGAGAACATTTAGGATTGTTTTGTATCTCTTTTTTTTTATTGAAATGGTTTCTTATCGTCTTCATCGATTGGTTAACAGAAACAAATGAATAAGCCCAAGAAAAGGATAAGAGTTGAACCCATATCCATCTTTTGTTATGAAAATAATAGATTTTTCTAACGTTGGCAATAATTTTTATTTTTTTTTGTTAGCCTACGATTTTTTCAATCAAATACTGTTCAAGTTTTTCAAGTTTGAGACACATTATCTTTTGATTTCGGAGCTTCATTGTGTATCGCAAGAGGTGCGAAGCTCAGCTTCGCCTCTGTGTAAAGTTTGTTGCGGCACAAAGTTACTTTTTCAGGCTTTGAATTTTGATTTCTTTTGGAGTTAACTTCATTTCCTTTGTTAAAAGGTAAGCAAACTCTACGATTGAACATGAAAAATTTAAAGGTCACTCAAAACGTGATTGATTTTTATTTCTTATTTTTTTTTCAGATTTTATCAGTGAAAATAAAATTTTACTTTTGAATCCATTTTCTCAAATTGGGTTATTTTTTCAAAAAATGCCAATCATGAATTGTTCTAGTGTTCTCATGAATCGTTCTCTTGAATTTAGTGGTATCTATGTTTTTCTTTGAAATTCGAAAGTTGAGATTGTTTCAAAAGTTCAGTCAGTATTTTTTTTCTGTTTACCTGCTTTCATGACTTTTTTCAACTGTCTGTTGGCTATATTTACCCTTGCTATAAGGAAGGTTATTGCAATCGGGTTCTCGACTTTTTTTCCTTAAATAACTTACTTCACAGAAAATATATATATATATATATGTTTTTATTCGTGCTTTTGTCATAATTTTGTCGGCTCCTTTTTCCGTTTTATTTTACATTCATTTATTTTATCTGGTAAGCTTTAAACTATCTGGTAAGCATAGGTTTTTAAATGATTTAAAAAGTTTTTACTATATTTGAAAGTTCTGTAATTTGTGGATTTTTTTCGATTAAACGGTTTTGGCTGATATTAAATCAGCTTCGTCAAATTATTTTGCGCAGTTTTGAGGGCAAAATGTATTGTTATCCCTTTATGTGTTCCGTTACGAATGATTCGTAGAAATGTTTAAAACTGTATAGCCGAAGTTTTTTTATGACAATAGTTTAGTTTTCTGCTCAAGTTCTTTTCTTCTTTATTCTGTTCTCTTTAGAAATCTTTTCTTTTAGATTGAACCTTAACATCTGCCAGGTTCCTTCCTTTTTGGCCTAGGGGTAACGCCGTTGCCTCGGCACTTTAAGGTCTCTGGATCGAGTCTCGGCCGGACTTTGTTTTTTTTTTATTTTGTGCAATTGAAAAAAAATTCGGTTAATTTTGGATTGTCGATTTTTCGTTTGTCTGCTCAAGTTTTGTCGGCAAAATTACAACATCACGGATTTTGCTTGTGCTGTAAGCAACTTTCATTGCAGTTGCAAATGCAGGTGTTGTTTAATTTAGTTTCAGGTTTTCGGTTTTCGTACTTGCTCCGTAAATTGTTGTTTTCGGAGCAAGTTGCTCTGCTCAAAGATTGTCGGCTTTGTTTCCTCTGCGTACGTTTTGTTCAGTGGCTCATTCGAATTTCAATTGTATGGCAAGGAACTTCTCTCGAGACATCAAGAAATGTTAATTTTGTTAGACCTTGTTTATTTCAACTTTTTTTTTTCATTTTTCCGATTTCTGTTTTTTGTGCTTGTGTTGCATCGCAAGTGGTCCGAAGCTACGCTTAGCCTCTACTGAAATTGAAAAAGCTTCAAACGTGTTGTTTTTTGTTTAAAACTGTTTTTGAGAAGCTGATATTAAATCCTAAAGGGTTGCTTCGTTTAACGCTTGGTTTTTTCTCAATAGGTAACGGGACAAATGATACCAACCTGTTCGATACGTTCAAATTCCTAATCGATATCCCAGTCTCGTGGCATGACAACTACCGAATTGAATTCTGTGTATGCTTCGCTGAGCAGAATGGCACGGAACATTGGGACAATAACGATGGTCTGAATTACTCAATTGTTTCCGGACATACAAGTCTGAACACCCTGTCAAATCCAAGAAACACAGTATCGACAGATGTGAACTCGCCCCTCTACGCATATTGGCTTGCAAATTCTGGAATAGATGAAATGCACCCGTATTGGTGAAAACTGGGAAAGACGAGTTCCAGAAGTGTCTGGTTAAACTGAATGTTCATTGATGTTTGGAAAGCGAACAAGCGAGTAAATCTGAAAGCCCTGTTTGGAAAGTTAAAAGCTGTGTTTGTCTGTAGTTTGCTGATAGAGATTATTTGGTGCACTTACTAATGCAATAAACTTTAACTCAATTTTTGACTAGCCACTTGAAGTTGTAAAACTTTGGTAAAATTTGTTTGTAACCGTTCCTGTTGTAAATATTTATTGGACCAGTATTATTCTGGCTAACTCTGCTGATATCAAACTGTTTTTTGTTTGAAAATGACGTCCAACCCCCCTTGTTGACCCTTCGAAGTTATTCACTCATCTGATGGCCTTCAGTGACCTTTCCTCCGATCAAAGTTCTATCAAGCTCATATTTTTGATTGATTTCACCTTCGGGCATTCGAATTAACTAGTTTGTTGCTATTGTTTTAGTTTTTGATGTTTTTATATGGAGCTCAATTCGTAGAGAACTGTTTTGCGCCAAGAGATGTTTAGTGGTTTTTGGCTCCTCTTCGCTGAAACTGATGAGAAAGAGTGGTCAAACTAAACTAGCTTGAGACATGTTTTTACTTCTTAACTACTTATAACCTGTTAGTTATTATACACTATCTGTTAACATAACTGAACAGTTAATTATATTTGTGCTTTCTCTTGTATTTCTAGTTTGAGATTACAAGAAATTTGAATTATAAAATTGTCGCAGCTGGCGACGAATTTGTATTTGTACAGAACTAACATGATAAAGTAGATGTGTTTCAAAATTATACTGGATCTCACAGGAGTGGTTGTATTAGAATAAATAACATCAGGTAGTCGATTGTCAAGTTTACCAGCTTAACCATACAGGATTGTAACACTAATAACTTGTAATAATCGCTCTAGGTTAGTAGTCTAGTATTAAATATATGACTGCTCATCTTAGTTTTCTTCTCCTAACCCTCCTTCCACGGTGCTTCACTTTCAATTTCAATTCAATTCGAGCGAATTTCGAATCATTTAGTTTTGTACAAAATTTCAATGATTTTTATCATTAATTCTTTTCAACTAAAAAATCCCTAGCAATTATAGACCGTAAGAGATTAGTTGAGGACTTTTTTAGCGAGTGCAAACACGTTGTTAAAGTGCAGAGGTCTTCTGCACTAAATGGCCCAAAATCAATATGTCTACATCTTTTTGGAACTCAAAATAGTAAGGTTGGATTTGATTGGCTAATAAGACACTCAAATTCAAACAACATGGTCCGGCATTTCAATTAAAATGTCAAGCAGATAAGATTGTTGGTCGAAATAACCAAACTTTTATTCTGCTGAAGCCTTTTGACATTTTTTTTCTCGTCCGGGCAAAATTTCCCAAGCTACTTTAAACATTATTTTTAGACAGAGTTCCACATTTTGGTAATTTCGGCTATTATTTTTATCTGCTGGAAGTTTTTCCTGAATATGTTGCCTGAATTTGAATGGCTAATACTAGCCAATCAGATTGGACCGCATAAGCTTTAGTTTTAACTCAAGATATAAAAATATTGATTTTAGGCCGGTTTTGTGCATAAGACCCAACTGCAGTTGTTACATTTACGTTTCATTTGATTAATTGCAATATGAAGGTGACCGAAAAACATCGAAACCGGTCAAAATCTGTTATGAATTTTGTGGTAGTTCAGGCGTGTAATGCGACCCTCCCCTAAGTGACCTGCCGTAGAATGTCCTCCCCAAGCATGTATTAATTTAGTAAATTAATTATACATAAAATATTCATTTTAAACAAGCGAGCTGAATATACCCTGGAGAGTTTTTTATACCAAGTAGCTATTGAATCCCATTATTATCGTTACAAACTTAACCATTATTTGGTATCAATAGATTTTTTTGACTAAATAGATCAATTTATTTTGCCATCGAAGCCAATTTCTGAAAAATGGGTATTTTATCCCCCCAAATTGATTGGGGGGTTGTACGGTTGATCCCAAATTTTTGTCGCGATTATAAGTACCTCAAGGAGCGACCGCCAGGAATTGAGAGCGGTATCATATCTGTGTCCTTCATGAATTTTGTGGTAGTTCAGGCGTATAATGCGACCCTCCCATAAGTGACCTGCCGTAGAATGTCCTCCCCAAGCTTGTATTAATTTAGTAAATTAATTCTACATAAAATATTCATTTTAAACAAGCGAGCTGAATATACCCTGGAGTTTTTTTATACCAAGTAGCTATTGTATCCCGTTAATATCGTTACAAACTTAACCATTATTTGGTATCAATAGATTTTTTTGACTAAATAGATCAAAAATGAGTATTTTATTCCCCCAAATTGAATGGGGGGTTGTACGGTTGATCCCAAATTTTTGTCGCGATTATAAGTACCTCAAGGAGCGACCGCCAGGAATTGAGAGCGGTATCATATCTGTCCTTCCATTTTTTCTTGGCTTAAAACAAATTTGTACGGTTGATCCCAAATTTTTGTCGCGATTATAAGTACCTGAAGGAGCGACCGCCAGGATTTGAGAGCGGTATCATATCTGTGTCCTTCCATTTTTTCTTGGCTTAAAACAAATTTGTACGGTTGATCCCAAATTTTTGTCGCGATTATAAATACCTCAAGGAGCGACCGCCAGGAATTGAGAGCGGTATCATATCTGTGTCCTTCCATTTTTTCTTGGCTTAAAACAAATTTGAACAAATTCTCAATATCATGATTTCACAAAAGAATATAATACTTTTTCCGAAAAGATATCCATCATAAGTTATATTTTAAATTTGACCTTTTATGTCTGTCAAGCAAAAGTATATTCTCTTATACAATTTTTTGGAGATTTTGCTCTTCTATAGTTTTTTTTTGGACTGGGTAGGAGGCTTCATGGAATTTAACTTCCTATCCATTAACTCAGTAGCTTAAGATTAACTCTTGATTAACTCGAAAAAGCCAAAACAACCCATTTTTGAGGTGAAATTTTGGTTGCGATTTTCGCAAAACAAATAGAACCATCTTAATTCCGGTTAATTTCTAAGCATTTTTTGTTCTCTTCTCTTTTTGTCTAATCTTAACCGAATATCAGGTAACTCGGGTGTTTAAATCCAGTAGATGTCAGTAGTTTTAGTCAGAAATGAATATAGTGAAGAAACTGATACAGGCCATGTTATTTTTTTCAAGGAAAAATTTTCAAATTTTTTATTGCAAAATTTAAAGTTTTTCGGTTGATCTTGTTAGGTGACTCATAGAGGTCGCGATGATCTTATTTTTTTTTCATGAAAAGTCTTAAAATTTGCGCAGGCTTAAATTTCCTTTTTCGCTATTTGACTTAAGAATTTTTTCAAGTTCAGTTCATTTATTTTGGTAGAAGGAATGCAAACTCCACTATCGAACAGCGAAAACGTGGTTGACTTCTAGTGTCGAAAGTGAAGTTTAATAATCGAATTTCCATTGAAAAACACATTTACCTATCGAGCCATTTTTTTTTTCATTTTTTCAAAATGATCAAAAAAGTGTCAGTCATAAATTGTTCTAGGGCTTTTTAAGATCATCTTTTTTCTCTTTAAATTTCGAAAATTGAGCTTTTTCATAAAATCTCATTAATTTTTTCTACTTACGCCCATTGACTCTTTTCCAACTCGACGTTGGCTTTGTTTTTGTTAATCATAAATTTGAAGTTCAAGATTTTGAAACTCGACTGTTGGAATCTCTTTTTTGTATATTCTCCTGGCCTTGATTTTTTGTAAAATATCTTTGCGTTGATGGATAGTGTCTGGGTTATTTATGTCAATTGATTGATTAAATAGCAATAATTTCTAGCTGGTCAAAATCAGATGTCAGTAATTTTTTTGAGTTATCTTTTTGCTGTGTAATGATTTTGCATTGGTTCTATGTGGTAATCAAATTTGTATTTTGTTGTGTTTTAGTTCAGTTTAATTTTAAGTGGTTTTTTTTCACGCAAATTAGGCTCCAGAAATAATTTTAAGACAAGACCGAGGGTTTTGAGTTTGAAGTTTTTGCAGTAATGAGTGGATCACATCAATATTTGAAAAAGTTCACGCGGTGTCGAGAAAATTATTCCTTATTCTGGTATTTTATTCAAGTTATAATTCTCAGACGCGTAAAATTTTGAAGCGCTTGTAGTCACGATTCAAGCGATGTTTCAAAAATTCAAAAAAAAATCGAGAAATTTTTGGTTTTAAGACAAATTAAGAGCGAGAAAATTCAGCGAATAGAACAAAAAGTGGTTTCTTAAGCTGTAAAAATTATCTTCTGAAGTTAAGTTAGCGCTCCTCTGGAATCGGGTAGAAGAATTATTTTTCGAGTAAAAAATCAAATCGACCCAATTCTTTGGAAGTACCAGTTGAATCCTGACAAATTAAAACAATTAACTGGACGCATTCTAGTCAACGTAACAACAGGAGAATTAAACATAAACACAATCTGAGATACACTTTCTTCGGGCCTTTGGTGCTATAGCCATCCCCAGCAAATTATATCCTCCCTACAATAGTATAAACACAGTTTGTGTGTGGGGGGTATAGTTTTCGCATGAGTGTCTAAAGTAGAAAAAAAGACGAATCTTCCACTTGGTCGCCACAAATTAGGGGCTCGATCACTCGGCTTAAAAATTTTTCCACGGCTCATTTTTGCAGCCAATTTTTTAATCTGCATTTCGAACTTCCTTTTTGCCATGTTTGCTTTTTGCGAATTTCAGCTTCGCCTCTGGGTTGCACAAAAATAGTTAGCCGTGGCTCAGTCATCAGAAAACCACGAAATTTTGCGATGACTTGCTACTGAAAGTTTGCGTTACACGACTATGTGTGATTGCGAGACTTCGGGTCGATCAAATTAAAAATACTGAAGTTCTGAATTCATACTTTTACACACGTACATATGTTATATCTGAATTACAGGTCCGAACTTTTGTTTTCAGATATTGTGTTTTGAAATCTTTTGTGCTAAATGCTTTGATGCTTCTGAAAATCAGTGTCGAAGGAGTTTATGACGCCGATGTCAAATAGTTTGAAGGATTTTGTGGTGTCCCAATGTCCCAACCGTGTCTTTTACATCCCCGATTTCATATCAGAAGTAAAAGAGCAAGAGCTGCTACGTCATATTTACTCCGCGCCCAAACCCAAGTGGGTTCATCTGTCCAACCGTAGATTGCAGAATTGGGGAGGAATTCCACACGCGAAAGTAGGTGAGATACCAAAATGGCGCTCAAATAGTTGTCCACAGAAAAAGTTTTCTTTTTTCGTGGATAATTGCTGTCTCGTTGAATTCATCAATATTCAATGCCTCTTGTGCGAGCGCTTTTGATGCAGTGTTTCTAGCGTGTGGGGGCTTTTATAGTGTTATTGGCAAATAAATTTGGGGTCCTTGAATTGGAAGAAGAGTTTTTTTAAAGGTGTCTATACTAAGTTAGTCCATTGTCTGAAAAAATCTTTAAAAAATTTAGTCTAAAAATTGAATACATTCTTGAAAAAGGTTTCTTTTGATAGTTTTGGATTAAAATTGATCTGCTTCAAATTGATCTGAAGGTGGTTATCTTATATGTTTTCTTCTTTTATTGTTGTCAAAAAATTACAAAAAACGATGCATATATTTCTTAAGCAGGGGCACATCAGCGGTTCTCCGCGATGAGCTGAACAGCTCGAATGTTGGTCTCTTCCCTTGTGAACAAATTGTCAATTATTGTTTTGGACGGGGGGGTCGTTTGAATGAGACGTTTTTTAGTGGAAGTATTTGCTGAATTGTAGAAGTATTATGAAATGGAGATTTTGGTTCAGCAAGCGTTATCAAATCGGAATGTAGACTTTCGAAAACTAATAAAATCAGTTGAATCACTTGACATGCTCAATTTCATGAAAATTCAAATTTAACAAATTGGTGAGTACTAGATACTATAGGTTAGTTTCAGGGGAGACTTGAAACTTTTCAAAGTTTTACACAGTCGTTTTCTTCGCCTCAAGTGGCGTCTGCTCAAAGATTGTCGGCCTTGTTTCAGCTTCGTTAGTTTTGTTCAGTTGCTTGGCATTTTTGCCTAGATGTCTCGCTGGGAATTTTTGCCTAGAATTTTTGCTTCGTAAAAACGGGTTTTATGAAATTATGGGATCGGGTTTTTTGTTTAAATTTTTTGAGACGTTTGGGAAAATTTTATCACTTGCAAAAAAGTTTTTTTTTCAAAAACTCTTCTGCCGGTTTTCTAAAAAGGGTATGAATAGAAAAATCGCCTACATTTTTATGTTACTGCTTACTCCTCTGGCCTGTTTTTGCTTTACCCCTTTACTTGCAGCCTTCGAAAAAGTCTGTGGGGGAATTTTTGACCCATGTTTTTGATTTTTTTCTAGTTTTCTCAAAAACTAACATACCAAATCTGAGTTTTTGGTTTCATTGAATAAAACAGACACGAAAAACTCCTCTCCATAAGCGGTTACGCCCATACTTTTTAACGAAATTATGGCCCTCGGAATATTTAAGTTAACATTTTTCATCGTTTCTTGAATCTTTTGTAACTTGTTTAACAGAATCACTTGTATCACCTGTATCTTGGTTCATAATAACGAATATGCCTGGGATGGCAAAGGTCCTGGGTTCGAATCTGACCAGGATCTGTTTTTTTTATTCAAACGGGAAATATTCTGTTTCAAATAAATCTTTCGGCCTTTGATTTGTCTGCTTATCTGTTGTCCGGTTAGTTTTTTCATCGTGAAATCGTTTTTTTGATGCGCGCTTTTTTTAATGTTGATTTTAGTGCTTGATTTACTCCTACAATTTGTAATTTTGCTTACCTTGACTTCGTGTTTCCTTCTTAGGTTTTTGTGTAGCGTGAAAAATATTCCTCGGCCCAAGTTATGTCGGCCTATTTTTTATCAGCTTAATGACCTTATTTAGGGTAATTTCAAGAGAAACACAACTTATGCAGTCCTATCCCCCGATTTTTTAAAATTGTTTGTGTGTTTACCAATCAGTTTTTTGAATTTTTTTTTTCACTATGGAAAATTATTTCCAAATTCATTGGAAAAACTTTTTACTGAATTTCAAAAAAGGGTATGACTTAAAAGGCTGCCTAGTCCACTGTGTGCCTGTATATTCCCCTAGAGTCTCTTTTTACTTGACCCCTCTATCTACAGCCTTCGAAAAAGTCTGTGTGGGAATATTTGACCCATATTATCGAGTTTTTTTCTTTCAAAATACACATCTCAAATCTTTCAATGAGTTTTTGCTTTCAATGAAAATAACTGTTGTGGAAAAGTTCCCTGCATGAGCGGCTACGCTGAATTTTTTTAGACAAAGTTTTGACCGTTTTTCATGATATTACTGCTCCATAGACTTTAAAAGGCAGTCGGAACATTCAGGGCCTCGCCCTGATACAAGCAGTCTTGTTTAATTTAGTAGAGAAACAAGTAAGGTTAGTAAGGTTCTTCCAGCATCAGTATAACAAATTCGAAAAGTATCAAACACTTACCTTCAACTTAAGCTGGGCCCTAGGTGTCCTTCGCCGAGGCATAAGAAAATTTTTTGTTAACCTATTTTTTTAAACCATTTTCCTTTTTCGGTTTATGCTTTTTTCATGATTGTGTTGTGATGTATCGAAAGTGGTGCCAAGCTCCGCTTGGCCTCTGTGTAGAAGTGTGCTTCGTATTACAGGGAATGATACAGGATGCGATCCCAACTTGGCTGCAGAAATGCATCGATGATGTCACCGTCCAGTTAGCCGATGTGCTTCCAGCGGACACGAAACCGAACCACGTTCTAATCAATGAGTACGAAGCAAGTCAAGGTTGGCGATAAACTGTGATTTTCAAATCTTTGAAAAATGTAAAAAAGTTGAATCAACTGAACATTACAGGTCCTATACTTTTGTCTATAGTGGCGAAAATTACAGGTCCTATACTTTTGTGTAGAAATATTTCGTAGAAAAAAAAAGAATTTTAGTAATTACAAATAACGTGATATTCAAAAAGATTTTTTTTCTAGATGCAAAAATAACGTGATAATCAAAAAGATTTTGCTTAGAAGTCTTAATCTTAATTATAAGAGAGATACTCAGCTTGATCCAAATGTTTCAAATGCCAGTGTATTCCAATTGTATATCATGCAGTCGTATCGCTTTAGTCTTTGAACTTCAAGTTCACCGGAAAATCTAATGTTGCGTGCATGATTTTGCATGCGTGGCTGATTTTTAATTGCTCATTTTTTCACTGGTTTTCAGTAAAAGCCTAAAGATCGTGTTGAAAGCCATTTAAATGAGCGCATGATTTTAAAACACTGATATTTGCGCAAAATTGCTCGAACATACAAAAATGCTTAATTAAAAGTTTCAAATCACTGATTTCAAATCACTTTTAAATGGCAAGAGAAATTCTCAAGATTAAAAGAATCTCCTAATTGCGTAAAGTCCCAATTTTGAGGAATGAAACCTGCCTGCACTTTTCAATGTGACATTTACATTTAGGTATAATGCCACACGTCGATGGACCACTATACTACCCAGTGATAGCGACGATCAGCCTCGAATCTCCAGTTCTACTGGACCTATATTCATCATCTGCATCATCATCATCATCATTGACAACCTGTGCTGAATCTAAAAATGGGGTCGAAGTTGATTCTACCTCCAAGCACTCAAGCATTTCTAATTCTAAAACTGATCTTAAATACGATCCTGCAACAAACTCCGTACCCGAATATGATCCCATGACATCAAGTGAGGTCAAAAGCGAATCTGAAGTTATGGTTTCTTCTGGCGATTCAGTGAAGTTAGATAGAATCGGATCTGTTTATCTGCAGCCAAGAAGTTTGTACGTTGCGACTGAAAATGTATACACTGAGTATCTCCATGGCATTAGAGAGGAAATTAATTTTGACTTGAAAAGTGAGAAAATTCTGAATGTTGATGTTCTGGAGAAAGCTGAAAAATTTGATTATTTAGATATGCTAGAGAGAAGTAAAAGAGTTTCGATAACAATAAGACATGTACCAAAAGTACTGAAAAATAAATTGTTTATACGCTGACGATGAGTTTTATATGATTTAAAACTCCTACTACAAAAAATGGTAATTTATTATGGAAATTTTAAGATTGAGACTCTTACATTAGTAAATATATCAAAAGTTCAAGTTGAGTCATGTATTTCTTAGAATGTTTTTTTTTCAGATTCAAATGAATTCATGATCCGAAAGCTTTCGGAGAACTGCAAATGTCTTTCCCACAATCCTTAGAATGATTTGGAAAAAAGCTTGAAAGGTCATTAGCCTGGATTAATTGAAGATCAATTCGAATACTTGATGGTTGAATACATTCAGGATTAACACCGGTCAGCCTTTTGTGGAATTTGAGAAGTTACTGATGCTCTTTTGAAGATTTGTTTATTTTGCGATTGTAGGTCATTGACTTCGAAAACAGTTCTCATTTATGAACAGGTCAATGCAAAATGTTCTCTCTATATTGATTTCAAGATAATCGAAATCGTGGAAAAAATTAAAGACGAAAAGAGAGAATTTAGAATCCAGGAATAAACCGAAGGAAATTGGCAACAACCGTTAAAAGTTGTAAAGTTAGCAAACTTATCGCGTCTTTGACTCAATAAGAAATGATTGACGATATTAAAATCTAGCGATAGATATTTGATCAAAAGAACTTTTCAACAGGTCTGCGAGGTAGTAAACCCTAGAAACCCTAGCACCAAAAGTATTTACAACCTTAAAACATGTCATCCCCCTTGTCGGTCAGAGTACGTCACGTGACAACCGGAGGCAGTGACGTCACATCTTCTTCGTCCTCCCCGCTAGACCAACAGCGCCATCACCATCAACACCACCACTCGACAATGGAGTCGTCTTCGGATGACATCGAAGAAGTGAATAGCACCAGGGCAGCCGCGGGGGAACAGGGGGAAGTGATGGTGGAAGTGGATGTTGAGGGGGAGGGGGAGGAGGAGGATAATGAAAGTGTTCTTCTACCCCCAGCCCCCCAGCCTGTCATCATCAGAGGCACGGGCTCCGTCACCATGTAAGTTGGGGTTTTTTAAACTGATTTAACCATAAAGCAATAATGTTATCAAATTTTATTTGACAACGCAAGCTTAAATGGTCCCCTTTAGCTACAATTTTACGACATGAACTTTTGAAAGCCATCTTGTTTTTTTTTGCTAAAGGCGGCGATAGACAAAGCGTTTTTTGAGGGAGAGCACGCAACAAAAAATCGCATTTTGTCCCAAACATTTTTGTCAGGCGTCTGTTTTTGCCAAAATTGTAAATACAGCTCGGAAAAAAATCAATTGCGTCGTCTGAAACAAGTGAAAAAGAACGAGAACATTACTTTGATCCAACTTGAGAAAATCCCATATTCCAGCCTGTTAACGTAAATTGAAAAAAAAGCAATTTCTGGTTAGTTTTTTTTACACATTCGGCTCATTTCAGTTTCGGCTTGAGTAACCGCTTCGACACAGAATTCCCTCAAGCACTGCATGCTAAACTAGCACAGGAGGAGTTCAGACAGACGATGGGCGAAGTGAACGAAGTTTTGAGACGCACTATGCCTCTCAACTTCAGGTGGCTGCTATGTGGCTGTGTCTGCTGCTGTTGTACTTTAGGATGTTCCCTATGGCCTGTTATATGTCTGAACAAACGAGTTAGTGTTCACTTCTGTGACAATTCGTTGAATTTCTTTGTCTCGTAAAATCTTCACTCAAATACTTCTAAAAACATTTACAAATCAACCACGATTCGACACGTTTGATTTTTATCTTGAACAAAAAAATATGCTCTGGAGATTTGTTTCAAATTACAAAATCATCGATTCAAAATGCTAAAACTTGAGAGAAAAACAAATTTTTAACCTTTTCTTTACTTTTTCTTGTTTGTTTCAGACTAGAAACACAATCACAAAGGTGCTAGACAAAGAGAACCAGCGTCTATATCGAAAGGTAAGAAGCTCGCCTTCATGCTTAAAATCAGAGCCAATTCATATGTTTAAACATGAAAAATAGTGTTCATTTAAGGCTTCTTTCTCATAGAGTTTATCTTTTGATCTCCCCTAATCAATTCATCTTTAAAAGCTAATAACATTGTGACGTAATCAGGGAAAAGTTTTCCTGCCTCATTTGTTGAACTGGGAAGGTTGATTGACATTTGACCTTTCATGTTTCAGTTGGGAATGCGATGGCAACTGAGCAAACAGCGCTGTGAAAACCACAACATGACAGAATATGTTAGTCAAATATAGTTTTTGGTTCTTCATTATGGGTTAATGTTTATTCTGACCAAGTCAGTGAGTCGGTTGCAGTTGTGTCCTTGCTGCGACCTCTCTCTAATGAGTGGGATGGAACTATTTCCGATTCGAAAAAATCAAGGATAGCCGGTTACTGTGCAAGTTGCATAGAATGTTCCGACCATAGTCGTAAATAAATACAACAAAAAATTGGTTTGTTTTTTTTTCATCGTGGTGTGATAAAAGGAGCTGAATGAAAAACGAGAGATTAGATACATTAGACATTCATAGTAAATTAGCAAAATTGAAAAACAGTTTTTGTTGAAAAATGACTGGAAAAGCGGAAAAAAATTCGAAAAAAAAGGTTTCATAAATTTTTTCACATTTCTCTGCAGTTTTTTGATTTTTAAAGTTTTCAACAGGTTTTTCTCGACACTGGGAGATTTTGTTTGAAGTTTTTAATGTCGTTCGGATCACGACTGCAGGAGCTTTAATATGATATATCACTGAACTCTCTTCGATGATTATTTGTGGAAGCTGGTTTTGCACGCAAAGCAAAAAAGAAAAAGGTAAAACACACCCGATTACAAAGTTCCTCCCCATTTTTCAAATGGTGGAACAGTTACGTTTACATTTTCTCCTATAAAAAGAAAGCTCTAAATCTTTCTCGTAGTTTAACTGGGGAATGGACCGTATCAGCTTACTTTCAGTCTAATATTTGCTTGTTTTTTGCTTCGACCATTAAAAGGGTAGAAATTTTGTCTTCGGATGTGTTTTAGTTTTTTTTTGAAGTGCTTCTTTTTTTCATGAACTGTTCCCGGTACCATAAATAATCAGTGGAAAGGGTCAAATGATATATCATATTAAAGCACTTCTAGTCGTGATTCGAACGACTTTCAAAAAAATTCCCAGAACTACCGAGAAAAACCGGTTCGAAATTTTTGATATTCTAGTTTCGAGCCAATAAAGCGAGCGAGCAGGCTTATAATTCAATTCCAGCCATGAAAACTCAACTCCAGTCAAATTTTGAAGTATTTTAAAACTTTTTTTGGGATTATTTTTTGTTTGATTTTTTTGTTCTCTTCATTTTTTGAGGAAAACAGTTGTCGAAAATGCCTAATTTACTCTTTCTTCCGAAGTTCTAGGCTGTCGTTCAGATATTCTCATCGCACCACGAACAAAACACTGCATAATTTGAACGTCACAGATTTCTTTTTGGGGCGCGAGCGTTCGGTGCTACGTGCTCAGAAATTGGGCACTCTTATATAGCTTATGAGTATGGGAGCCATGTGCAAATTTAGTGTGTTTACAAAATCAATACCTTTTATCTAGAAAAATACCAATAACTAGAAAAAACGCATTGTGTTATTTGGTTTTGTTTCAGGTGCTCAAGATTTGCTTTCTGCCCAAGTGGCAAGTTCTTAGACCAGACTGATCTTTCTTCCCCAGTCAGTCCCCCACCCAACCGCCACACCCTCTGTTCTCGCTCTACATTCGTCCCGTGCAATCAATTATCAAGACTACTCTTTTCAATATGCAACCGAGAAATCACCACACCAACTCAAAATTACCTTCCAAATTATAGGAGCGAAATGAATATGAAAACTCATATAATTTTTATATAAAGAATGGCGCAAATCAAGGCCTGCTTTTGCAAATGAATGAAACTTGAATTGGAGTATGAACCAATCAATATGTTTGCTTTATTTTATCGCACTAGAATATTTTAGTGTGATATACTAAAAGTCTTTTGCAAATATTCTTGGGTTAAATTTTTGTTCAATATTCTTGAGAGTCATTTATATTTTCAGTTGAAAGGGTCAAAATAAACGTTTTTGTTTATAAACGACAAGTTTTTGAAATGATCAATTAATATAAAATTTGCTTATTGTATGCACGTTTTGACCGCTTTAATTGGATTTTCATATTTTGCCCACCATGACCTTAGTTAGTTTCCTCGGTTATAAAAATAAACAATTCAAAACATGTTCATGTCGTAACTTTTAAAAAATCAACACTTTTTAAATGGGCAATTGTAATAAAAATTGAAGGTACGAGTGACATTTTTCGGGTGTCAAATATGCGTACAAAGGGCGACAATTTTTTTATAATGCTTCAAAACTTTTTGAATGATGAGGCGGTGATAAAATGCATTGCAAGTCAGAAATAACAGCTTTTTTGACCTGAGATGCATAATATCAGCGCTACCAGTAGCGGATTTAGGGAGGGGATCTTAGGGGCTTGACCCTCTGCCGACCCAAAGTCCCCCTTTGTACTTTTTTGAGATATCCATTTTTGGCTTACTGACTCTAAAGGTTTTCTAAAAGCGCCAATATATACTAATTTTGAGGGGGAACCTATTTTTTGGCCTGTTTTTTCAATAATTTGCCTGCGGTGAAGAAACTTTGGTCAAAATAGGGTCTTAATAGTGATTGGGAAGAGCTCAGAAAATCAATTTGGTGGATCTACTAAAGAAGGTCGACAAAGTTTTTCTAAGTTTTTTGAAAGTCCCCACACCCCCCCCCCCCCCCACTCTCGAGAAAATCCTAGAGCCGCCCCTGACCGCTACACCAGTTACCAATGTAGTCAAGTGTAACGGTTTGAACTCCTATCTCTAGAAATTGAAAGTTATACTAATTTCTTTTTCGAGATTTATAATGAGGAGCAATTAAAGATAAGAGGGGTTTCCGATAGGGGAGTAACTGGAATTTCTAGCCTTGCTTTCTTGATGTTTTTGGCACTTCAGCAATAATAGCGTTTTTCTGACGCTCACTCCGCGATCCAGACAATTTGAGACATTTTGACTATTTTGGTTGCTGAATATTGAAATGTTTAAAGTGTATTGTTTGTACGATGGTTTCCAAATGGTAATGGCGGCGCTTGCTGCATTAGTAACAATCTTTCGATCAATTTGAAAGTTTTGGAGCGTTTTTTTAACATTCTTTAGAGGTGTATGCTTTTATGCATTGGATTCGGAGTCTATTTTCATGACAAGGTCCGAATTGCAAAACTGCTCCCGACCAATCAAAATCTTAAGATAAACTGGGTTTCTCTCCCGTGATTCTTGTCATGAGTGATTAACCATTCAATCCGTTGCATGTTTGATTCACAGTTTCTTTGTTTCATTGTTTCTTAATAGAAGCATTTTCTATATTATGTTGAAGCTAAATTTTTTTGAATTGACCACCCAATAGACAAATAAACCTACCTCTCTACGTGTATTTTATCTTCATGGCTGCTAGATAAAAACACCGATTCCGTCTTAATTTATGTCACTCTGAAAACATGAAGTGTTTATTCTAACTTGAGAAGTTATGATTTATTACTGATTTGGTTAATAATAGTGCTACCTTATGATCTTGGGCATAAATCATACAGCAGCTTATGTTCTTGATAGAATTGTAGTTAGATCAATTTTGGGCAAATTAATTTTTCATTCGTTGACTTCTTTTAAATGAGGTTAAGTAACAGTGGCGGATTTTGGACGACTACTCTTCCCCACCCAACGATTCTCTTCAATTCTGGTACAAGTTTGCGGCATCCATTTTTAGCTGATTAATCTTAGTTTTTCTGAAGCGGATTTTGGCGCCAATATATACAATTTCGATGAAAGCTCGAGCCGAAAAGTTGAGTTTTTTGGAAACGTTATAAAAGTAGCCTACAAAGCGCCTATTTGGTTGTTCACAGAGGAATTTGACCGAGACGCATATATTTATTTTTGGCGATTTGAAACAGCGCGAGCTAAAGCTCCTGAGTTAACGTATGCAATCCCGACTCGTATTTCTTCGTCGAACATGTTTGAAATTTGAGTGAAAACGCTTTGTGTAGTAAAATAGAACGTAGCAGGTATCATCCCCAGCTGTGGTCGGCTTATTTTCAGGGCTGATGTTTCAAATCTGTCTCATATTTGTTGAGCTTTTTTTAAGTTTTGAATGCTTGTTTCCGCAGATTCAGGCAGTGTTCTAAATTTACCTGGGGAAATCTTAGTAGCGCCCCAATGTAAAGTTTTTGCTGCCATAAAAAATGTGAATAGTGAGCGATGCCATTTCTATTATTCTATGCATCTTAAGTTATTTAGTCATCTATTTAAAAGATGTTCGAGAAAAAGTTAAGGTTACAAAATTGATATTTCTGTAGTGAATGTTAATAGACTTCTGACAATTTAGCAGGATTTTAAGCATTTAAATTATTCGAATTTCAAACGAAAGTTTAACTTACTGTTTACGCAAGCAATGCTTGTGTTATAGTATGAACTCTTTTTTTTCCAACTTAAGTCGCAAACATTGTTTCGGTAAAATGTGTTCATTTTGTAAGTGTTAATTTTGATCAATAAGCAGCTATAAAGTACAGCCAATGGTAAGGATTTTAACACAGGATATTATTGTTCCGACTTTCGTTGACTTGTTACTAGGAGCATAATGTATTACTTTGTACTTAATATGGCGTGTGGGGTAATGATTTTCACAAAAAATCTCAAATTAATTTTTTTTTTAAATTTTCATTACATATAATTTTTTCTTGTTATTACTGCTCCATTGACTATAAATTGAGTCATGTCAGTTGGTAATTTTCTTTTGTTTTCAAATTGACCGGTACTGCATATGCGTCATAATTGGCGTGCGTCACTTAAGAAATTTTGAAGACACAAAGTTTTTCTCAATCAGTTTTTCCCAGTAGCGTTATCGGTCATAAATTTTTTGCTTGTGTATGCAAAGTGCAACTTCGCCTCTGTATGTAAACTATGTTTGACAATTTGTACTTATAATCACTGAACAAAATAACTTCTTGACAATAGACCTTTTAGCTTAACGGGGGATAGGAAGTTAGACGATTAGCAAATTAGACGGCTGCAACAAATCAGAAGTTCGACGTTATTTTTGTAAACAAAACTAGAATTTTAGACGGAAAGCATAGAACTAACAAAATTTATTGCTTGAAACAAAAGTTCACAAAAACAAGAAGAATACTTAATCCCCTTGCATGTCAACATTTTTGTATAATTGATATATAAAACATTATTCCAAATATTATAATTATTTTTGAAACGCTTAAATTATAGAATTGCATCATGTAAAAAATTGATATGCATTTTACCAAGCTCGAACGAAAATTAATTTTAGTCAGTAAACAAATGTCAGACACGAACAATACAATTACGTCTAATTTCCCATAATTGTAATTTTAAGCTTATTTTTTCTGATCACGTTTATTTACTTGTCTAATTTCCTAGCTTAACAACCCAAACTTGAAGCACTTTACATAAATGGACTGAAATAAAATTTAGCGTCTTTTATTTAATTCTTAAAGAATTTGTTATCGTTCCCGGCTGGATAAAATATCTGACTCAATGCGGTTTTTCCCTTTTTAGATTATCAAAAAAGAGTTTGTAATGAAAGTTTTCTCTTCCGTTAACAAAATTAAGCTGGCAGTAATTTTTCTATTCAGACTACATTCTGTTTACATTTAACCATTTTAACGAAGCATCAAAAAATATCGTTTTTCAAGGCTCAAATATGAAAATATGTTTGAAGTATTTTTTTTCCGGTGAAGTTTTGATCATTTTGAATTTTATCGTTTTGGACGAGTTGATGCGAGCGAAATTTCTGCTGAAGCGTAGCTAATATGGCGAAAATTTCCAGCTCAGTAATTATTGACACAAGCTAATTGATACAATTAAAAGGGCAGTAGATGCGAAATTTATCGTTTTGTACTTAACATTGATTGTGATGGTAAAATCTCAATTTTTTTTCATTTTTGGAAATTTCGACTTCAAATTTACCTAAGATCTCCTTAAGGACAGTCGCAATATTCAGGGAAACTTGATTTTTTTTTGTTATAAAATTTATGTTGAAAATAAGTGATCTCCATTTGACGATTACCAAACGAAAAGCAGGCGATAAAAACTTTTTAGAATGTAGTTTGTTATGTTTTCTCTGGAAAAAGTGAAAATTGAATACGCTCAAATTTGGGCTTTCGTAGTTCGAATTTAAGATCGTTTTTTTCTTCAAATTATATCAAATCAATTCATTTGCTCAAAGTAAAGGCAATTATGATTTCCAAAAACAAAAGTGCAGATGGTGCAAAAACGTGAATGAGTTTCACTATCGAAAGTAGAATTTAGTCTTGAGATTTCCCAGCGGAAAAAAAACTTTGTTCTCTCTAGTTGGGTTAATTTTATGAAACAATTTTAGTCATAGAAGATTCTCGTCAAACAAAGAGCTTTATCTTTGTGTTGTTTCTTCAAGTTCGAGACAGTCTAATCAATATTTGTGTTTCTTTGAATTCGCAAACGTTTTCCATTTTTCTGCTGACTATGCTTTCCAAATTGGCACTGATTTAAGTTTATTGAGAGTCAGTTTATTATGATGAAACTACTTCTCAGTAATCAAATTCTGTTTCTCATTTTGAAGTCAGTTTTACAGTCGTTTACTTAAAAAACCACAATTAACAGTACTTCGATTAGTTTTCACTAGATTTTATAGCTGAGTGTTTGTTGGGTTTTTCGAATGCATAGTAAATCGTTGACGACGACGTTTTTTTAAAATCTTCAAGATCTGTTATAGATTTTTGAAAGGAAGTGTCGAAAATTGTTGTGCTGAATTAAATACTGAAATCTCAAAAAAAAACGTTTCCTTCGCAAGACGATGAATTTGGATTAAAACAGTCAAACGTTGTTAGGTTTTATTGCGCAACCCCAAAACACGAAAAAAAACTTTTTCGCAACCAATTTGTAAGGATATTTTACAATGGTAGATAAATGGCAGTTTTCGGGCTGGCGTTTCATTAGTTTCCAGCAGTGAAGTTTGATTTTTTGATAAATGAGTTTTTCATTCATAAAATTATTTAAAACCTTTGTGTTCTTCTTCACTTTTTGAAATTTGGCGAACCTAATTTGAAACGATTGAGTCAGCCTTGAAATGTAAAATGAGCACCATGCGTTCGATGCTAAATGAGCAAAGAGTGCAAAATAAGCGAGCAGTGTTGGATATGGGGTAAATATTTGGACATAGGATTTTTTGTCATGTAACTACTACCCATCTAAAAATTGTTCTGAAAAAATTGAGTTCAACCCAAACAAAACTTCTCATATCAGAGCGAAGCGCTGAATGTTCCGACTGCCTTTCAAGTTCTATGGAGCAGTTCAAGCTTCAAAAATTTCATTGGATGTTTCAATTTTTTGAGATTTTTTGATATCATCTCCCAACTGCCATGTAAATTACAAAATGATAGGAATTACTCCTATTAACGTAGCAATCATGGCAACTAGTCTGCTTTAACCAATTTGGAACGATTTTTAAGGCGAATTAAATCTGCATCAACGAGTTAATAGCGCGAAATATATTGCGCGTTAATTGTCCCAAATCAGCAATCCTTAAACTCAAAAAGGATACAGAAATGATCACATGCGAAATAATTTTTTATATTTGAGCTCAGGATATCAATCTTTTCGATTGATTTTTTACCCAGACAACTTAGCCTGGACGTAACGAACATGCTTAAGACTGCGAACGTCCTGGGTTCTTGTCGGCCAATGATTTGCCTGCTTATCTGTTTGCGGCAAAAATGTCACATCCTGGAATCGTTTTTGCGCGCATTTATTTTATAATTTTGCTCATAGTGTTTGATATACGCCCACCATGAGTAATTTTGCTTACCTTGACTTAGTATTTCCTTCTTTTTTTTTGTTTCGCTAAAACAAAATTCCTCAGCCCAAACTCTTTCGGCCTATTTTTCATCGGCCTAATGTCCTTATTTTGATTATATAAATGAGAAACTCAGTTTTAACACTCCCCTCTGCAAGTTTTCAAGCTGGTTGTTTGTTTACAAATTGATTTAATGAGTTTTCACTAAATACGAATGTTTTGGAAATCTTTTCACTTTTTGCAAAATTTTTAGCTTTTCGCAAAACGTTCTCCTGATTTTCGAACAAAGGGCATCAATTGAAAGCCTGCCTACTCCCTTGAGTGTCTGCATACTTCTCTGGAGTCTTTTTTTTTGCTTGACATCTCTGTCTACAGCCTTCTGTGAAAGTGTGTGGGAGTATTTTTGATTTTTTTTTCGTTTTCTCGAAAACTCCCACTCTCAATTATGAGATGTTTTTTTTTAGTTTTAATGAGTAGAAGTAATTTGAAAAACTACCAGGCATTAGTGGCTACGTCCAATTTGTATTACACAAACTTATGGCCTTTCGAAAAATCAAACTTTTGATTTTTGACCGTTTTGTGAATCTTTTTTTTTCTTCATGAAAACTAACCTCTCAAATCTGATACTGTGGGTTAAATGGAAACAACGGGAAGTGAGAAGCTTCCCTGCAACAGCGAGCACTCACAGTGTTTTGTACAAAAGAAGTTATAGGCCTAGGAAAAGTCCAATTTTTGATTTTTCTACTGTTTTTTTTTAAAATTATTTTGAATTTTCTCGAGAAGTACTCTGCCAAACCTGAGATTTTGGGTTCAATTCTCAAAATAGGTTATGAAAAGCTCGTTTACTTATTGGACTACGGCCAATTCGATATCATAGCTTTTCAACTTTTTTGAATTTTCTCGAAAAATACTCTGCCAAATCTGAGATTTGGGGTTCAATTCCCACAACTGATTGTGAAAAGCTACTTTACTTATTAAACTACGCCAAATTTGATATCATAGGTTTAATCAAATGAATAGGCTGTTCAAAAGCTACTTTTTTAGTTGGTTGCGCTGAGTCTAACTAAGAAAAAAGTTATGGCCTACAAACAGGTCAAAGTTTTAAAGCTTTGACAGCTTATTGGAAACTTACTGACTTTACGCGAAAACTACAGGGCCAGTTCTCAGGAGAGAAACTCGGTCTTGGGAATCTCATTTGTTTAAGCGGCCGTAACTAGTTTATGGCAAAAAAAATGTCATAGATTTTGAAACGTTTGAATTTTTCGTAAAATTTACACAATCAAATCTGAGATGAAAAGTTCTGTTAAACCCGTTGCGATTATTAATCCTGCAGAAGCGGCGGCTCCTTTATTCCTAAATTTTTTTTTGGACTAATGCTAGCTCCTTAGAAAAAATGTTTATCCTGAAATTTTTTACTCGTCGCACCTAATTTAGTAGAGAAACAAATAAAACTTTGGGCAAAGAATAATTTTTGAAATCACACTTTTCATGCCGCATCACTGTAGCAATTTCATTCAATTTCAAACATGTACCTCCAGCTTTAGCTGGATTCTAGTTGTTTTTTTATCGAGACATACAAAAATTTTGGTTCACCTAGTTTTTTCAGCCTCTGAATTTTTAAGTGGTGGGAAAATATGTCAAAAATGGCTAGTTCAAAAGTCGAAATTTGTTTGAAGAAAAAAAAACCACCCCGATCACGAATATCCTGTCTTTTTCTTTGAAAGTCAGAACAACAAGGCTGCTCGTATCTGAGCGAAGCTCTGATTGTTGCAACTGTCGTTTTAGGTTTATGAAATAGTGTTTGGTTTGGAAAAAAAAACAACAAATGATTTGTTTTGCATATAGCTAAGTATTAAGTAGACCGAATAGCATGCCTCTATTCAGTTTGGAACGATAATCCCTAAGCACAAATAATCTGTCACCTTCTTCAAAAGTTGGATCAAAAAGCCGAATCATTGGCCCAAGTGAGAACACTGGTAGACTTGTGTTGGACGCCATTGCGATCTTGTTAACTATTTCCCCACCTATTGCAAGGGGGGATAGCTAACAAGGTACAAAATTCGTATATGCTTAACTGTTCAATTCTTTCTTTATAGGGGGAAGATTTGTTACAAGGTACCATAGTGGGGAAATAGTTAAGAAGATCCTGCCATTGTCCTGGTTTTGAACAATTTCTTCAGCCCACGAAACTCAAATTATGAGTCATTTCAGCTAAGGGATTGTTAATCCAAATTTGTTGAAGGAAAACGGCCTTGAAAGCACTATGCACAACTATGTATTTTTGTTTCTGGGAAAGCTAGAATATTAGAACATTCAGCTGAAATGGAAACTTTCTGAGAAACATTCGAGGTATATCTGGCTAAACTATCGAAGATTTCTCAAATTGAGTTCCTCGGAATATCTCAAATTAATATCACACAAGCTTGTAAATCCTTCATAGCCCAAAAACAGTTGAACGCAAGTCTTCTCAATCATTAAAAGGCTGTTTAAAAAATCTTCAGTTTTCTCAATCTGTTGAAAATTAGAATTGATTGAGCTGAAATTGTCTTTAAATTATAAGCTTCTCGATGTCTTGATGCGCAAAATGTGTTCAATTCTCACACGCAAAACAATAAGATTTGACATTATCTTATACATGGCGTTATATGTTGTCGATGTTTGGTACGAATTTTGTGCAGCTTGAAACTTCAGTTTAATACAGTTTTATGTTCAATCTAAACGTTGAGCAAAATTGCATTGTTCTATATAATAAAGCTAAAACTATTTAACATTTGAAGGACTTTTGAGATTTGACTCGTAAACCCAAATGTTTTGCAAACCCATTTAGCCCACGAAGGGCAAATTTTAATTGCAATGAACGATAAAGTTCATCAATAACCAAAAGTTATTGAACAAAAGTTGCACCTTTCGAGTTTGCATTTATGAATAGGATTATTTACTTGAAAAATATCATTTAAACTTTGATATAATCGGTTAACGCTATGGAAGTTAATACAACAGATGATATTGAAATTTTTCAATCAAATGGCGTAAACGAAGACTCCGATTTCCATGATTTACGTATCGATTCTCGAAATTCAAATTCCGATTTCCACGATTCGTTCCACGATTCCGGCTCTTTCAGTGCTGATTACACAACAAATGCTATCGGATTCGGTAACGATTATGCAGCACTGCAGTCTGGTTACGTAACTTTAGAGTCGGCTTCTCGTGCTGTCGAGCAATTAGATTCGGCGAATGTCGACACGAAAGATCTCCGGAAAATTGTTCAACAACAGACTCAAAATTTGGACCCCGATACTGCAAATTTACTTTCAATGATGTGTGTTGCATTGGAAAAAGCGAATGATGAGAGAAATAGCTTCGAACAGATGTTGAGACAAAGACATTCGGAAAGTTTGAGTCAGTTGTCTGAAATCAATCAGGAGGTTGAAGAGCAAATTGGCCAAGAGCGCGAACGATTGGATCGCGACTTTAAAGGTCGGTTATTTTAGCTACCAAGTGCGCTAAAAGTAGGTAGGTTCAGCTACAATGTGGGCTCAGTGTCAAGTCAAGAAAACCGAGTCTGATTTTTTTACTGTTTGAAAAAAGTCATAGAAAAATTTGAAACAATATTCATTTTTTAAACTTATGTAATTTTTTTTGTATATACTTCTGCGGTTGGACTACAATGTGGCATAAAAAGCAGACATTGTAGCTGATTAAGTGCCAATGATATTAAAGTAGGCGGGGGGGGGGGGGGGGGGGGGGGGGGGGAGCCGACTCCTTCTTCCTTCTCAGGGATTCGATCCCCTGCCGACCCAAAGGGTCCTTCTTTGTACTATTTTGAGACATTCAATTTGGGCTGGCTGGGGAAGCGCGCGACAAAAAAACGCGATTTTTGGAAATTTTGAAATTGAAGTTTTTTTGAAAATCCACCACACCCCCCCCCCCCCCCCCCCCCCGAGAAAATCTTAAATCCGCCACCCCTGAATCATGCAGTAAAAGTTCAAGGAAACATTTTTGCGAAATAAGGAACATAACGCTCTCTAATTACCAAAGCTAAAACCACGCGAGACATCGAACGACTTCTAGTTTTTGAAATACAAGCGGATTCATAAGTTTACTGACTGATTCAGTTTTCTCAATCTGGGTTGATTTAGTTTCTGTTTAACAAAGGTCAATCATCAGAGATAATTTAAACCCAAAATGATTTTGAAACATATTTTTCTTATTTGAAGCTCGAAAGTTGAAAATTTTTCTGTCTGCTTGTTTTTATTGAAACTTTTCCAATTGTCTGTTGTCCATGATTTTACTTTTTTGTTTTAAAATTTAGCAAAAAAATCTTAAAAACTAACATGGGGAGTTTTTTATTTACAGAGACCTTGTTCTTGCACATTTTAAGAAGTGACCGAATATTTGTCTGTATTGTTTTTTTTTCTTTTTCGGAAAAGCTATGACTTTGATACTTTTTTAACGATAGTTTGGATAATTTTTATAGTTTTTAACTTTTGAAAGTTGCCTTTGCCATCTTAAAATTTTGTTTATTTCAATACTAATAACTTTATTTTCAAGCTAAAACTTATAACCATACATTTTATGAAATTGTACGTTTACCTTAAATTTCGGCTGGGAGGATACCAAAAATGCATCAGCCTGTCGGGTGGCAGCTCCTTGAGCCAAATCTGTTTGCTTACTTTTTTAAATTGAGTTCATATAGACAAAGGAACGCAAAAGTTCTTCAAACATCACAAAAAACTAAAAGAGAAAAAAATCTGTTTGTTTTGGTGTTGTCTAACAAGCAAAATAAGATAAGCAAACAATACTATAACAAAGGGATGGAAATTTATCATCACGTACTTAAAAATTGTTTGTTGTCACAAATATATAGGTCTTTTATTTTATGAAAAATTGAGTCCAAAGATTCATTGGTAGTTGTTAATGCTTCAAGAAGAATATTGTTATCCAACTGTAAGAACTTATAATACAAATTATAAATACTACTTTCAATTTTGTTTTTTGCTTTTGTAGTAAGCTTGTTTCGACTGGGAAGTTTTTTTCTTGTATTGCCTGGTTTGATAGTATATGTTATCTTCTGTTCAGTTATGTTTTCATGAATTTTTTTATTTCCACAAGATCGTCTTATAAATGTGACAATTATTCAAAAGTAGGGGGTTTGAAAACTACCAATTCTGTAAACTTGGGTATAATTAAAACCAGCGATCAACCGTATTAAACTTGAACAGAAGTCGAATATATACTTTACCTTGACAAAAAAAACGCGAAAAAAACGCGATTTTTGGAAATTTTGAAATTTTTTTGAAAATCCACCCCACCAACCCCCTCCCCCCCCCCCCCCGAGAAAATCTTAGATCCGCCCCTGAATCATGCAGTAAAAGTTCAAGGAAAAATTTTTGATGTTTCAAAAAAAAAGTTTCTTCCGTTAGCTTATCGTTACTACTTTCAGAGCACGAAAAGCGCCGTCCAGCACTCTGGGCTGTTAACTTATTACAAACATCAAAGATTAACCTCACTGATCGGCCAAAATTCTCGGCGTTTTTTTTTCAACTTATCAACATGTTTTTTTTGTATACCAAAAACTGGTAACCACTTCAAGATGCTTCATTTTTCCACATCAGCTGTTATAGCAGCTTTTTCACCGGCTTTTTCCCGGCATGTTAACCTAGCAATCCTTAAAGTTCACGAAAAAAAACACATATCTGGATTAGCTTATCAAGGCTTAAAATCATCACAAACTCTTATCATTTTAATCAAAATATTTTTTTTCCACATATACTACACAGGTAAAACTGTTTCTAATAATTAATCTAGCATTTGCCTATAACAGCCTTTTTGCGCAGTAATAACAACCTGCTTCAAGTAAACTAATTCGTGAAGTTTGACTAAATACACTGCAATTTAGAAACAAGATGAAGTTTTGTCATAAATTTTTGGGAGAAAAAGTAAGGGGAAACAGTTCTAAATTAAAACACCAGATCAATTGGTAATAGGAAAAATTTAAATGGATCACTTTTGATCAATTGTATTCAAAAAATTGGTAGCTTTAAAAAGATTTTTCAGATTTCTTTGTCTTCATAATTCTCTCCGAAACTAATATAAATGCTATTTTAAAAACTTTCCGCTGTATTTTTTTTTTTCATTTTTTCATTTACTTTTTTTTATTCAACTCCCAATGAAAAGCTGATGACTGTGCAAAAAACTTCAAATTTTTGGGCCAAATTTTTTTCAAAATGTGGTGGTCAGCCCTAATCAATATTGAACTGAGTTAGAAACAAATAACGACGAAAAAAGGATGTCACCTCCTTGTTTACTATAAAAAAAGCCTTCGCAGGTGGGGGTCTTGAACCTAAGCCGGACTGGTGTACTTGTTTGGGCGGTAAATTAGCTTAGACTTGCCGTAGTGCAGTTTTGGTTTTAAAAGCGTAAAACGTTCTTACATATTTTCTATTAGAGGTTGTACAAGCACCAATAGTAGCCGTTGTCCGGAGCAAGCTTACTGAATTATTTTCTTTTTTTGAAACATTATGATTGACACTTTGAACTGCTGTCGTTGACCTCGTCGGAAAATCCTCTTTGTTTGGGAATGCAACACCTTGTCGTAACCGCTTCAACTCAACACACCTCTTCTCATGAAACCAAAATGTAGAATCGCGCAGCTGGACAGCTTGTAGGTTCGCTACCATAACGCAGAGGTCGGTAGATTCGCTTGATATCAGCTAATCTGGAAGTTTGAGAGCAGTAACGTCCTCGTTCAACCAAATTCCGTACTCTTCTTAAGGCTTGAGACCAGCAAAGCAAATTCATAACAGCTGGATTACCGTATAAATATCTTTCTATCACTTTACTATATAGCGCACTAGTGTATGATATGCAAAATTTTTGACAAAATTTTTATCCGTTGAAAAATATGATGAAAAAAGACAAAGCTTGTATACAACTGAATTCCTGTTTGGTCTAGTTATTTGATTTTGTTGAAATTGTTCTAAAATAGGTCAAATTGATTTTACCTGGTTTGATATCGAACAAATCGACACGAAAACGAACCAATTTCAAAATTAAGTTTTGGGATTATTTTTTATCAAGCAAAAAATCCATATTATTTATTACTGCTAATCCGTTTCAAGAAGTATAGCTACAATCGTTGAAATTTGTTCCCACAATTCGAATATCGATTTCTATGTTCGTATGATGATCATATATATTTGATAATGGCTGTTGAGCTTGGAAACGTGATTTTAAGATTTTTTTAACGTTTTTTTTTGTGTTTTCAAAAGTTTTTTTCCGCGCTTTTTGAATTTTGGGATGTGACACCAAAGCGAACAGATTAACTTTTCTTTTATCGGCTTCAGTTATTTTTTGAATTCTTTGTTTATTTTCAGTCTTTATACAACCAACGCATTCAGCGTTCTAACATGGTTGGTCCACCGCGCTCAAAGTCATATCATGACAGGTCAAATATTTGGTGCATGTAATTCGTTATAATTATAGATTAAAAATGAAACAATTAAAAGTTGAGATCAAGTTGCTATTTTACATCACAAAATTTTTTCACGTCAATTTATTCACGATTTTAAGTTTCATGTTTTTGTTCTGACCAGTAAAAAAATCGATTTATTCGGTTTTATTTATGTCACATAAAATATGAGGTGCTAAAAATGACCGTGATATTTATTCATGTAATTATCAAAAATACAAAGTCGTGATTCGCGCTGCAATAAAAGTTTTCAATGGTTTTTCTCACAATAGTGAAAATCAGCTTGGGTTTTTCGCCTTTCAGTCTTTACTTTTTTCTGGAGACACAAGTTGCAACCGGTAGCGTTTTAAACAATCCGGTGGAGAATAAAATCTTAAAGTATTACTTGACTGTGCTATCGGTTACAAGTTTTTGGCTGTCGAAAGCTGAGGCACGATACGACACATTTCCCCTAGTACAGAGAAACGATTTTTTTTAGCCAGGAAAAAATGAAAAAAATGGGTTCAAAGCTATTTTTTGTAAAATTATTTGAACTGGAGCCATCTGAAATACTTGCTCACAGCGGGTTTCTGTTTTTAAAATCGGTTTTCAATCCAAAAATTATTCGAAAAGAAAAGTAGTCAACACTCAGAGGTTTGCACTGATAAAATCAGTCACATTTTTAGTCATTCCGGTTGTGACCGCTCGACTAGCATAAAACTCAACCGGCAGAAAAACTCAACCGGCATTCAAAACATGAAAATGTACCGACTAGCATAGGTTTTTTTCTCAGAAAAGCAAAAAACAATGGTCATCGTTTCAATTTGAAACGTGCATTTCTGAAAAATAGAAAAATAGAAATTAAGCAACCAACAAGCGAACGAAAAACTCGAATCAAACGTACTATATCCCCTCTAAATCTAGTTAGGGGGGAAAAAGTAGGAATTTTTTAGCAAAATAATTTAAGTATAGCCTATAGGTTTAACCAAAATTAACAGAGTTATAAGAAAAAGTTGAAGAATGTTACAAAAATGCCCGGGTTACATAGCCATGGGAAAACCTTGAACTTCCTGCCAGGAACTTAAAGAAATCACGGCAACGCTGGACTTCCTGCCAAGGCCCATCTATGAACCCTGCCTGGCTTTTTTGGCGTTCTTCCACGATGGGATTTTTTCTGGAACAATTTTGTGAAATATAAATTGTTCCCTTCTTGAAAACAATTTCATCAATTATTATTTTAAAAAGGCGAATGATCAACAACCATATCCAAAACACAATTATCTTGGAGCCCAAATTACATTAAAATTTCATAAAAATTGCATAACCAGTTGGAATAGTAATCCTAACTTCGGCTCGGTTACCTTTCGGCTAGTTGGCCTACCACCTCTAGTTTCTTGAAACCTCTTTCTTGAATAATTATTTAACTGGTTCGATTGTAGAGCGACAGGAGCAGATGCGCTCTCTGGTGCAGTCGGAGATGAGTGAGCTGCAGTCCAGACTGGATCTGCTGGAGAGTGAGAACAGCCAGCTAAAGTGCAATCTGGAAGAAGTGGACAGGGCCAAGAATGAACTCACAGATGAGTACGAGGACCTCAAGCGCGACAACAGGTAGTCATTTTATTAACCAATTACAACCCGTCATAATTATTGCGTTTTCCACATACATTATAGATTTCAGAAGTATATAGCTAGTCGCAGTATTTAAGTAAACTTTTAATCAAATTATTCATAAAAAACTTTTTCTTGCAAATATTGAAACAACCGGCAATACATTAGATGTCAGTGGCTATACCGTACCATTGTCTCCATTTTTGACGAAATTTTTTGATAACATCTGAAAGATATTTTTGTCTGGAGCTTAAAAAATGTAACTGGTGATCGTTTTTCAAAAAATGATAATGGTTTGAATTTGGGATTACTTTGACGATTATATTACAAATTGCGATATAACGCGCGATCCATTTTGTTCTATTAAAACGTAGCGGCAACTTAAATCCTTCCAAATTGAAGTTTGCTCATATTGATACGTTATAATGCGCAGAATTTATCATTTGGTAGTGTACATAGCTTATGGGGGATATAATTTGCAAAAAGAGCTTTTAAAAAATTTTCAAATTTTTCTGTTACGAAGGCCTAGTTTTCCCGAGCCTAGTTTTCTCGAGCCTAGTTTTCTCGTATTCTATGTGCAGAAGTGATATTTTTCTTTTTTAGTTTGGAAAAAAACAGTTTCTGGAAAGAAATAACCAGAAATAAGTTTACTGCTCAGCCGCAACGAGATAAACATGCTTCGAGTAAATAACACTAACAATGCAATGCAAAGTAATACTTGTTATAAGAAGTCTTATTGTCACTCTTCATCAAGGACGGTAGCTTGGTGGCTAGGACAATTGCGTGCAAAACTGAAGGCGAGGGGACTTTTTTCTAGCAAGAAATAGCCTAGATTCAGCTAATTTCTGATCAGAATTAAGATGAGAAATAAAGAATTTGAACATTTCAAAAAAAATTCTGACCAGAAGTTAGATTAGATATGAAGTATTTCAGGTCAGAAATAAAGATATTTTGCGATACGGGTTCCGAACATTTTATCAGATTTTTTACAGCAAAAGCTAGAGATTGTCGATAGAGGCAGTTGGGCTCTGCTTTGATATGCAAGTAGTCTTGTTTTTTTTTGTGTAAAGAAACCTGAACAGGACTGCTCTTAACATGGCCAAATCCTGAGAATTGAAATTGCCTTTTTAGTTCTGTGGAGAAGTGTTTGCTTAAGAAAATGTATGAAAATGTCAAAGAAATAGAAGTTACATAAAAACAAATTTTCAGATTTTTATGAAAACATCCTCTCACACGCTATATTAGTACAAAAAAATATCCTTTGTATATACAGACCAAATAGCACGCTTCAATTACTTTGAAATAGTTTATAAGACGGATTCAATATTCGCTAACGAGTTAATACCTCACAAAACATCCAATCTCTGCTTACGCGTTAATAGCTCAAAAAAAATTGCGCACTAATCGTCCCAAATTAGCCTTTTTTTAACCCCCGTTGTGCTACTAAATATGATCACAGGTAAATACAATTTGAAATTTGAGCTCTAAAAGGAGCAAAATTCTTCGACTGATACAAAAATTCGATAGTTAAAAAGAAAGTCGAAATTTGTCTGGAGTACCACCCCCCGCACAAATTTCTTTTATTTTCTTCGTATATTGGAATGAAAATTTATGTTTAAAAATAATTAATAGTTTGCATGGGACTTAAAGTGGAATTAAAGTTTTCTCTCATTTGTACTAGGAAAAATTTATTTGAATTGGTCAAATAGGACAGTTATATTCATATATCGGAAAAAAAAAACAGAATTATTTCAATTTTAAACCTTAATTTCCTGATATATATTTTAACATAAATGCCAAGTTGAAAAAAAATGCAATAAAATAAGTTTCTTGACTCATTAAAAGATATGAAAAGTTGTTATACCTGCACACTATTAAAGAAACCAGATGAAAAATACCATCTTAAATTTCATAATTGGTTCCTTATACTATAAGCAAATACTACGCACAAGTTTAATGAAGTGTTCTCCATGGGACTTCCTAAACAATAAATAGTATCATATGACGCTTTTAAATAGATGAAGACAAATATTGAAATTATATACTGAAAAAAGTAGATTTATCTACGTTAGTCGCACTAAGTTTTCTAACATATCGTACTTAGTTTCCTAAGTTTCCCACCAGGATCCGTGATTATTACTCGGTCCAGAACAAAAAAAAATAGCACTGCAGTTTTTCAACAGGGCATAACAGCTGTTCTGTTGGTCCTTTCTTTTGTGGGTAAATTGTCTTAAAAATACAATTGTAATAAAAGTTCAAAAAGGATAGCATGAATGAACATTAATATAAAACGATCTAAATAGTATGAAGATTTACTCCCATAATTATCTATAAGGTCGTAGCGTATTCAGCCAGTTTTATCTGGCTGCAAATTGATATTAGGCCAATAACTATTCCAAATATTGCGCAGCACCTTGCAATTTTTTAATTTTTTTTTATTTACGCGTGCGCAAAAAGTTTTCTTTATCTTAAGGCCACCAAAATCTTCGAAATTTCATTAGCTGTTTTAGGCGACTATTTTAAGCTAAATGTTCTGTGCAGCAGTCACTTTTTTGAAGAAATTAGCGCTTTTGAGTACTTTTTAAATTTTAAGAAAACTATAAAAATTTGAGATTGAGCGGCCAATAATTGGTGCCGTAATTTTTTTTGAAAGACAACATAGCAGCAGCCGTCTATCTGTTTAATTCTTAAACCATTTAAAAATCTCTGAAATTTTAAATCCCGGTTGAGGCTCGAACCGCTGCCACTGGCTCGAGAAGTTTAACTGTTTTTTTTTCAGATACTTGGAGGAGAGTCTGAGTGTGACAAAGGATGAGTTACACATGTCCAAGAATGTGGCCAGTGCCATCAAGGCCGAACAGATGGAAGAGTTGAAGGAGAGGGAAAAGACAATCGAGGAGTTCACCCAAGGTCAGGCTCAAATTGAACCGATTCTTTAATTTCCACTCTGAAATTGTCTCCTTTTGAAAACTCTCACATTTATGAAATATGATTTTTACAATAGAACAACTGCTGGTTCTGCTATTACGGAATCTATCATATCTTTGTGTCCAAAGATCAAAATTTACTTGAAATTAAAAAAAAATTTCTTTGAAAAATTTTGAAAATTGTTTGTTTCTTGAAAAGTCCTTTGACAAAATCTTGTAAAGACGATGAAGAGTGTTATAAAAAATTGTTGAAATGTTCTCAACAATTCGTCAACGATAGAAAATTTTCATACCATGAGTCGTTAAGAATATTGATTTAATTGATGACATGTTTGAAAATGCAAACAACATCAAAAAATGCTGTTTTTTGTTTCAGAATAAAATTATATAGTCTCTTGTACATTTAGACACAAACTGAAAATACAATATTTCTCGTCAAAATTTAACACTGTAATCTCATGCGACAATTAAGAAACCTCTAGACTTCGACATCTCTGGCTTTTTTTCACCGTTTGGTTAACATTAAAAACGTCTGAAGTCCAGTACACCAGGTTTTAGAAAACCAAATTTGTAAAATAGTAAATTTTTATGCTTTTCTTCTGTTCTTCAGAAGCCGAAGAAGACAGATCTTCACTTCTGGAACAAATTCAGGAACTGGAACGAGAGAGAGCGAGATTAAAAGAGGAAAGGGACGAACTGGAGGCATTCAAGTCATACTGGATACAGTCTGGACCCCACAGAGGAGTGACAACTGTCCCCCATGGTGTGGATGAGATGACACCTCCGGGGGGCAGTGCAAGTGGTGTGATGGACGAGGGGGTGATTGGGGGTGGAGGGGGTGGGATTGATATTCATGGCGTGGAGGGGATATTATTACCAACAACGAGTCAATCGGGTAAATATTTTGTCCCCGGCATTATTTTTGTCAATGTAAACCAATCGAATCTCATACTTTTTTCAATTCGAAAATCTAAATGTCTAAATTCATAAATAGTTTTTCTAAGTTCTAAAGTATTGATTTACTGTATTTTAAAAAGTGTTAATCACAATTGTTTTCTTGAAAAAAGCAGCAAAAATATGTTTTGATTAGATTTTCATGAGTAAAATACTGAGATTTGATTCTTTCAAAAATGAAGATTATTTTTTTTCCAGAAGAGGATGAGTTTTGGGTTCTGGACCCGAAGAGCAAGCCGGCAGTGGACACTGATGACACATCACACTCAGACTCTTTTTCCAGATCAAGGTCAAGGTCACCTTCAGATATAAAACAGCGGACTTACTTGACCGAAAAATGAAAAAAATTCTTGAGTACATGAACGTTTGACTTTCAGAGTACTCTTTTTTTTCCTAAAAAATTGCAAAAAAAATCTTTTTCCTCCAAAAATATATATTGAAAAAAAAATCAGTTATAAAACACAGCATGCTGTAAATAGAAACATAGTTTACTCTGAAAATATATAAATTGAAGATATCATTGAGTCTTCCGCGTTTAAATTGTTTCTGGCGGTCAATTGAGTCTGCTTTGAACTTTTGGGTCAAAGGTCACGGGGGTCAAAGAGTTCGACAATCAGTCTAGACTCAGTTGGGGGCATCAGCCACGCAGTAAATGAACATATCAGAGAGGCCGAATCCACTACTAATCTCTACACAAATACACCCAATGAGAAAGTGTTCAAAGTCGTGTTCTTGGGTGAGCTTTTCTTTTTTTACCCTATGAGATGATTTTCTCTAAAAAAAATTTTTGCTTCGACCGCTTTTTTTGTTTCTTTGTGTTAGAATTGCTTATTTTTCTTTAAGATTATTTGGCAGTTAAAAATTTACTGGAGTGTCATTTCGTGAACTTTTGTTTTTTTTCCTGCCTGAAAACAATTTAGTATTTTGTATTCATTGGTTATTTTCGATCTTTTTAACTATCCCCCCCCCCTCGGGTACCTAAAAAAGAATATCCTTCTATAAAGAAATAAATCAACAGTAAGCATATCAGAACTTTATTCCTAGTAACGAAACCTTCCCCCTTTTTGCAAAATGGGGGATATAGTTGAAGAGATCCGTTATTTCTTCAGCTTTGATTTTTAACTATATCCCCCCTCGGGTACCTAGTAACGAATATACCTCTATAAAGAAACAAATCAACGGTTAAGCACATCAGAACTTTATTCCTAGTAACGAAACCCCCCTTTTTGCAAAATGGGGGATATAGTTGAAGAGATCCGTTATTTCTTCAGCTTTGATTTTTAACTATATCCCCCCTCGGGTACCTAGTAACGAATATCCCTCTATAAAGAAATAAATCAACGGTTAAGCACATCAGAACTTTATTCCTAGTAACGAAACCCCCCTTTTTGCAAAATGGGGGATATAGTTGAAGAGATCCGTTATTTCTTCAGCTTTGATTTTTAACTATATCCCCCCTCGGGTACCTAGTAACGAATATCCCTCTATAAAGAAATAAATCAACGGTTAAGCACATCAGAACTTTATTCCTAGTAACGAAACCCCCCTTTTTGCAAAATGGGGGATATAGTTGAAGAGATCCGTTATTTCTTCAGCTTTGATTTTTAACTATATCCCCCCTCGGGTACCTAGTAACGAATATACCTCTATAAAGAAATAAATCTACGGTTAATTATATCAGAACTTATACCTAATAACGAATACCCTCCCCCTTTTTGCAAAATGAGGGATATAGTTGAAGAGATCCGTTATTTCTTCAGCTTTGATTTTTAACTATATCCCCCCTCGGGTACCTAGTAACGAATATCCCTCTATAAAGAAACAAATCAACGGTTAAGCATATCAGAACTTTATTCCTAGTAACGAAACCCTCCCCCTTTTTGCGATATGGGGGATATAGTTAAAGAGATCCGTTATTTGTTCAGCTTGACTTTCCAGGCGACACGTGTGTGGGTAAGACTTCCTTCATCCAGCGATTCCACTGCGATCAGTTCCAAGACAGACTCCCCTCCACAGTGGGAATTGACTTCCTGCTGAAGAGTGTCATGGTCAGGAACACCCCCTGCACTCTGCAGCTGTGGGACACTTGTGGCCAGGAGAAGTTCAGGGCACTCACCAGGAACTACTTCAGGTAAGCTCAATCAGTTAAAGTTACTAATAGTAATTTAAAAAAATCACGATAATAATTTTTTTAAAATATTATGATTTTGTAAAACAAAGTATTAATGCAATTGATTGTTCCGACTTTCGTAACGAAAGTAACGGAATATTTGTGCTCGCGGTGGGTTTTTTCTTCAGACAAATTTCGACTTCTTTACTGGCCATTTTTGACGGGATTTTTTCACATCATTCGAAAGCTATTGTTGTCCTGAGCTTAAATTTGAAAAGATATTTTACCTGTGATTGTTTTTCGTTTAGTTATGGGGGTTTAAAGAGTGCCATTTTGGCCAATTTGGGACAATTAACGCGCGATATATTTCGCGCTATTAACGCGTAAGCGGAGATTTAATCCGTCTTAGAAATCGTTCCAAATTGAATGAAAGAAGCGTATTTGCCATAATTTATTTGTTACAATGAGCGAAATCTATTTTTTTGTTGTTTATAAGGCGTGTGGGGGGGATGATTTCATCAAAAAGTTTCAAATTTTAGAATTTTTTTTCATTTTTATTTCATTACATTTAATTTTTTTATGTTACTACTGCTCCATAAACCCTAAAAGGCAGTCGGAACATTCAGGGCTTCGCCCTGATACGAGCAGTCTTGTTAATCTTTTGTTCTGGTAGTCTGAGACGGGGGTTAGGAAATTAGACGATAAGCAACTTAGACGTGACCAACAAAAACTAATTTAGACGTTAAATTAGCATTTAGACGGTAAATTAGAATTTAGACGTTAAATACGCAAAACTAGCATTTTAGACGGAAAGCAAAGGGCTAACAAATTTTTTTTGCTTAAAACAAGTTTTCATAATTACAAAAATAATATATGCTCTCATTGCATATCAAAATATTTATCTCAATTGATTTATAAAATGTTAATTTCAAGATTATAAAACATTTTTGAAATGAATAAATTATACAATTGCGGCATGTGAAAAGTTGATCTGCATTTAAGAAAGCTGAACGAAAGTTAATTGTAGTCGGTAAACAAATTTTAGACACGAACAATACAATTACGCCTAATTTCCCTTATTTGTAATTTTGCATCGACGTCTAAATTCGTTTTTGTTGGTCACGTCGAATTTGCTTTTCGTCTAATTTCCTAGGCTACGTATGAGACTGATAAAAATCCCCTAATTGATTATATAAAATTGTAATTATACAAGCAATCTCGCAAGCAAATTGCATAAAATTGTAATTAAGTAATTACAAAAGCGATCTTGCAAGCATTGTGTTACAATTCGAGTCCAGTTTTTCTCTAAACCAATTAGCATAAAAAGTGTTCAATTTTGTAAACACTTTTGCTGCATAGTATTATTGGCTTTAGCAGTGGGACATTAGTAGCATGTGTTTACCTGTTTTATTGATGGCTAGTGATTTGATATCTTCAAGAGAACATGGAGTTGATGAGAGGACATTAAGGGTTCGATTCCGGCTCATGGTGAAAATTTTTTCAGACTTGTTTTTGCATTTTCTATACTTAATTCCTTTTTAGAGCCCTTTTTGTGGTTTTTTTAGAGGTGATTGTGAATTGTAGCTTCACCTCTGTGTTGAAAAAGTTAACTTGAAAAATATAGTAAATAATGAAATATCAACTTTACTTATATGTTGTTTAATCATTGCCAATCACTCACACTGAATTATTTTAAGTATCCAATTCTGTAAAAAAGTAATTACGCTGGAAGTTATGATAAATAAGGAACAAAAGTGATAATGAAAACACAGTATGGTCGCTTTATTTTTGACAGATAATTTCAGGCCATTAAACGAGCTACTTTTGAGATGGGATGCACAGATCTAAATACTTGAAAAATCTGAAAACCTTCACAAAACTAAACTTTTTAAAACCATTTTTTTGAAAAAGAAACTACAGATCAGCGATGTGTACCCAATTTTTTTAGATTGGCCAGTGCTGATTGCATATTGAATTCAAAAAAAACGATATCGGCATCGAACAAACTTTTTCGACAACTGTTTTTGGCAAACGATTTCTTATTTCGAAACTTGAAAGCTAGCGTTTTCTCCGGAAAAAACTTTTTTTGGGTTAAACCATAGCATGCTGAAGATTAAAAAAAACAATTTGATCCAAAAATTTCAGTTTTTAAAAACTTTCAGAAAAGCGGACGGAGTGATTCTGATGTATGACGTCACGAGGCCAGAGTCTTTCTACAGTCTGAAGACATGGATGGAGGACGTCACTGGATTCGCCCCTGGAGACGTCTGCCTAATGATAGTGGGCAACAAGGCTGACCTCACACCTGTGAGATTTTATCTATCTTGATTTTATGCTAGCTTGACCGAGGGTGCAAAGCTTAGATTCTATTCTATTCTGAGAAATGTAGATTGAAAATATATTTTTTCAACAATTGTCAGAAAAAAAATCTTAGACATCCCTGAAAGTTTCTTGGATGGCCCCTGGCAAAAATTGGAAGGTTTTACTCTGCAAGCGAACCATTCGTAGCATATGTAAAAAGCGACTATTTGCAGCACGCGACGACTCGTAGCAAGCGACAATTAGTTGCGGTAAAATTTTTGATCAGATCAAAAGAAATTAGATGAAAGGGTTAAATTATAGAACAAAGAAAATAAAAATCGAAATTGAATGAGAGGCTCTCAAGTTGCTTGAGAATATTATTGTTAGTATAATGTTTAAAGATTTCAACTAATACGGTCTGACTTTTTTCCGTATTTTGCACCTTGGCCGCACTTTCTCCGGCAATTATTCTTTCCAGTTCATTCTCCGACAGACTTTGTTCTGTTCTCAGGAACTGGATAAATTTGTGAATGGTGGGGTGAGCACACCCCATCCCCATCTGGAAGGCCCTATGCCATCCCTCTACCAAATTGTTGGTTTTCTGCTTTCCATTTTTTGTTTTTTGAACTGGTTCCAGAGTGAAATAAGGAATTGCCCAATCCCTCTGCGTCCTCGGAGGATAGTTCCAACCCAAGTTGATTCAAAGTAATTGACGTAATCTTGCTACGAATTGACGCTTGGTGCGAATTGTCGCCTTTTAAAAATGCTGCGATTAGTTGCTTGCAACCAATCGTCGCTTGCAACGAATTGTCGCCTCACGGGTTTCTATGAAAGAATTCCAAACACTATAGAGGTCTAAAATCCAACAGTTAAGCTTATGCAATTTTGGCACTTGGTAAAATTGGGATTCGTTGCTTTCGTAATTCGTATTCCATTTTTTTAAAAACTCAAACGAGGAGGGGTATTGGATTATTTAATTATTTGTTTATTATTATTTAGGACCATTCCTCTTGCCAGGTATTTCAAGCTTTTTCAGATTAATTCAGTTGTTGTTCAGCGTTTACATGCAAATCTCGTGAAATTGTTTGTTTCGAATAATATTACTGCTGGCGAAATAAATTGATTTACAGCTTTCTTATTATTTAAAAAAATAATGAAAACCAATACTTTTCACTCGAGTTTGATCGGTTTTAAGAATTGTCTTGAAAATCATTTGCACGGTCAACTTTGTCAAATCATGCAAATTACTGTTCTTCTATTTTGCCTAAATAGAATTATAAACATGTTGGAATTCCTCAATTTCCATATCGGCTCTTCTACCGTCCCCACCCCTTCCCCCTCACACAGCGCTTTTTTATTTTCTTAAAATTTTTTTTTTACATTTTTCAACATAATTTGTCTCATAGAAAACTTGGTATAAAACTATTAGTTGCCCCGTAAAAATGGTTCATTTATCTGGTGGGGAGAAACTGTAGAATAGCCCGAATATCTATTCAAATGTGTTTTTGGCTTAAAATCCTATTTTTCAGCTGGAGCTAGATGCTGAATTAGTTAAAGCCACTCTCGGCAACCAATCAGATTTCTCCTTCACCGAAGTCAGCTCACGAAATGGACAAAATGTTACGCAATGCATGACGCAATTCACGTCACGACTTATCCTCAGAGAGGAGGACCGAATTGCCTTTCCTGAGTCGACATTCAAGAAGTTTTCCCAAAATAAACCCGATGTTGTGTCGCCCGGAAAAAAGAAAAAGTGTTGTATAAAAAACTAGATTTTTTGTCTATTTTGAATTTGTTTCAAAGATTAATGCTTTAGTTGTAGTTGGTCACATTCCAAGAAAATGATAAATTGATTTGTGAATTTAATTGTACAAAATAAGTAAATTTTGCGTTCGTCTGAACTTGTTCAAAAAGGTTTCCCTCATACAGAAAAATTGCCCCTGTGAAGTTTCCCAGGTCAAAGTATGCGATTCAAATTTCGACAGAGGCGTTCAAAACGATTGTAAAAACTTGCGCAAAATTCCCTGGTGAAGAAGTTTTTACTTCCACTCAAAGACGAAACAAAAAGTCGAATCGAATATAAAGTTGAACAAGGAGAGCCGGTTCCTTCGCAAGTTGGACAGAATGTGTCGACGAAATTGGTTTAAGATAAAAAGTTAATTTTTTTTTCAAAAAAAGCATTTTTGCAGTCTCAATTTCCTATTAATTGTATCTTAAAAATGCGATTGAGTTATGTGAAAAAAGCAAAGAAAGCGGTAACTAGAAAAAAGATGATCAATATCGTTAAAAACTTAGTGTAAATAAAGTTGGGAGGTAGAAGCTCCCAGTGGAATCCGAATCACGACCAAAAAAGTTTCAATATGATATCATACTTGAACCTTTGCAAACATTCCTTGAGGAACTTTTCCTTGAAAGCGGAGCTTAATTGCAAACAATGTACTATTTTGTAAAATGAATGCTTATTAGTTTGTGGCTTGAAAATGTATTTATTATCAATCAAAGCTAAGCTGGCCGGACAAACAGTTAAAACTGGCCGAAAAAAAAATGAAAAAAAAAACGAGCCTTAATCGAGAGTTCCTTTCCAACCTAAGAGAGTGATCGTAATTTGGAGCTCGCAACTAAAATCGAAAAATGACAAGACTGCTCGTATCAGGGCGAAGCCCTGAATGTTCCGACTGCCTTTTAAGGTTTTATGGAGCAGTAAAAACAAAAAAAAATGAATGTTATAAAATAAAAAGAAAGAAAACTTTTTTTCTAAAGTTTGAACTCTTAATGAAAATTATCCCCCCACACGCCATATAAAGCGCAAAAGAATAGATTTCGCTCCTTGTAACATATCAATTATGGCAAATAAGCTTCGTTCAACCAATTTGGAACGATTTATAAGACGGATTAAATCTCCGCTTACGCGTTAATAGCGCGAACTATATTGCGCGTTAATTGTCCCAAATTGGCCGAAATGGCAATCTTTAAACCCCCATAATTTTACGAAAAATGATCACAAGTGAAATATCTTTTCAAATTTGAGCTCAGGACAACAATAGCTTTCGAATGACATTAAAAAATTCCGTCAAAATGGCTAGTTAAAAAGTCGAAATTTGTCTGAAAAAAAAACACACCCCGAGCACAAATATTCCGTTACTTTCGTATCGAAAGTCGAAACAATAAACAAGTTAAATAAATAAAATGGGTTTTGTTAAATATACTCAACGTCAGAGAAACAATATCTTGTTATTAATTACTCAATCATTTTTTTTTGAAGTTTGGATCTTTTTTTTACTATCCCACTAAAAAGGCGACGGATTTAAGGTACAAAAAACAACATGTAAATAATCTATTCATTTACTTTGAAGTTGTAACTTGAACCACCATAGCTTGTAACAGGCGCGAATGTTGAGTTTTTCATTTAAAAGAAAAAGCGTTTTTACTCAATCATATATTTTAAACAAGACTGCGATACGAAAGTAACGGAATATTTGTGCTCGGGGTGGGTTTGTTTTTCTTCAGACAAATTTTGACTTTTTAACTAACCATTTTTGACGGAATTTTTTTAATATCATTCAAAAGGTTTTGTTGTCCTGAGCTCAAATTTGAAAAAACATTTCACCTGTGATCATTTCTCGTAAATTTATGGGGGTTTAAAGGTTGCCATTTTGGCCAATTTGGGACAATTAACGCGCGATATATATTTCGCACATTTAACGCGTGAGCGGAGAATTAATCCGTCTTAAAATCGTTCCAAATTGGTTGAAACAAGCTTATTTACCATAATTGATTTGTTACACGGAGCGAAATCTATCCTTTTATACTTTGTATGGCGTGTGGGGTGATGATTTTCACAAAAAATTCAAATTTTAATTTATTTTTTCTTACATTTAATTTTTTAATGTTATTACTGCTCCAAAAAACCTTAAAAGGCAGTCGGAACTTTCAGGGCTTCGCCCTGATACGAGTAGTCTTGTTTTACTTATAATCTCTAATCTTTTTAAACACATGTATCTCCTCGATTGACTTATTTCTTTAACAAAAGTGTATTTCGGTGGATCTCTGTGGAATTGGGTTTTCTAAGTCAGTCACAGTCAAGTTGTATTTGTTACAACGCACGCTGACAAAATTTTTGCTTCGGTCGCTCACCGAACAAAAATTGACTATTTGGGAAGGTTCGGAAAAATGGAGGGCACGTCGAGATAGCAGATATAAGCTGAGTTTGGGCTCAGTCAGTTGACAGATAAATTGCTTGCCTTGACCCCTGCTTAAATAAATTTTCCGCTACCCTATAAAAATTTAAAAAATTAATTTTTTTAAATACCATCAATTCTAATAGTCTAAGACAAGTAAAAAAAATACTGTGAAGCTTTGTAGTGTATACATCCTTTTCAACAGATTCTGAACTTCGAGTCATTTTTTGACCCATTTGACTAAAATTAGTTCTGTTTCAACCAGTTCGCTGAAAAATGGCAATTGGAACAAGCGGAAAAAAATACGTGGTTGGGACCCGTTACTATTTCAGTGTTCACAAATCCATACTTTTGCGTTAGATTTTTTGCGATAAAAGTTTTGTGGCGTTTCATAGAGCAAACATTTCACTGCCTATACTTCTTTCACTGGGTTGTTATGCATGCTTTTTTAATTTTCTTTTTGAGTTTTCTGATTTAAAAAACGCAAAACGCGCAGAATCAGAAAACTTAGGATTTAGTCAACAATTATGGGAAATTCTTAGCTGAAGTGCGAAAGAGTATAGGTAACGAAAGAGTGTTTACAATTGGGGCTATTTTTTCTAAAACCAAAATAGCCTTCTACTAGAACGACCATTCAACAAAGCACAATACTTTTATTCAATTAAAATTGCTTAAAAAAATTAGTGGAGAATGGAAAAAAAACCATAACACTTTTGTTTGCGTTCAACATACTAAACGGCAGTCATCACGTATTTTAATCAAATTTGCTTATCACGTCAGGTAAAAGCCTCATATTTTAGTTTTTTGTTAAAACTCAGTCTGCGAAAAGGTCGTGTCCCTTTACAACTTTAAACATTATTTTGATACCTACTTTGTTTGCCACTTCAGCTCAGAAAGAAACCCTCTCGAGTTTCGACAATTTTTTTTGTTCCGGATTTCGAACACGAAGTAAAACCTATGTATGGGGTGTTTTTTATTATGTCAAAGCTCGATTTTTCAACTATTAATTTTTCTTTTTGACGACTTTTTTTATTCAGCTAAAAGATACTGTTGGCCGGAGCTCGAACTTTTTAAAAATTTATCTGTGATCTTTCTATGTAAAAACATGGAAGTTTGAAAATTGTGAATTGGGCTAGTTTGGAACAGCTAACACGTAGAATACTAAACCATTGCTTTTGGTTTTTATAGCGAGCGTAACCAAAAGAATAAATCGTTCCAAAATGAATTGAAGCCAGTCATTTGATTTCAGTTTTAGAATACCAAACGCGAAATATACTCTTTGTACTTTTCGCAGCGTCTGAGGGGATAAAAAACATTTTCTATATTTTTCAAAACTATTTTCTCAATTTTTCAATTTACAGTTTTTTAATTGGCCTTAAAGGGCATTCGAAACTTTCAGGGCTTTGCCTGATACATACGGTAAATCAAAATACAACCGGTAAACAACTCAAAATTATGCAGTATAGCACAACAAAAGAAATCAAAGCAAAGAAATGTTCGCACAATTGTGCGCCACAAAACTTCGATTGCTTTTATAAAACAAGACTGCTCGTATCAGGGCGAAGCCTTGATTGTTCCGACTGCCTTTAAGGTTTATAGAGCAGTAATAACATACAAAAATTAAATGTAATAAATTAAAAAGAAATTTTTTTTAAAATTGAAATTTTGTTAAGAAAATCATCCCCCCACACGCCATATAAAACACAAAAAGAAAAATTTCACTCCTTGTAACATATCAATTATGGTAAATCAGCTTTCTACAACCAATTTGGAACGATTTCTAAGAAGGATTAAATCTCCGCTTACTCGTTAGTAGCGCGAAATATATCGCGCTTTAATTGTCCCGAATTAGCCAAAATAGCAAACTTCACAAAAAATGATCACAGGAGAATTATTTTTTCAAGTTTAAGCGTAGGACAAACAATACCATTTTGAATGATATAAAAAAATTCCGTCAAAAAGTCGAAATTTGTCTGAAGAAAAAAAACCCATCCCGAGCACAAATATTCTGTTACTTTCGTATCGAAAGTCGGAACAAAAACATGAATATATATACGCGTTTTTCTCAATTTAATTGAAAAAAGACAAAAAATGAAGAGAACCTAAACAAAAAAAAATCATAAAGTTTTATAAGTGTTTTTCTCAGTTTTATTGAAAAAAGACAAAAAATGAAGAGAACTTAAACAAAAAAAGCAGAGATATATACGCGCTTTTCTCAATTTAATTGAAAAAAAAATTGAATGGAACTTAAACAAAAAAAAATTATGAATATTTACGCGTTTTTCTCAATTTAATTGAAAAAAGACAAAAAAAATGGTGAGAACTTAGAAATTGAACAGAAATAATGTGGAGCCATTCAATCTGTGAAGTCTTGACTCTAAACATTGCCCTAAAAGGGGCATGCTTGGTTTAGTATTCAATCAAGAATTACCCCAAAAACTTATTTCAAAATGAGCTTCTTATGTAGCCTAACAGGTTTTAAGAAGGGCATGAATTGTCAGATTTTGTATATTTCGTGATTGCATATAAGAGTCAAAAGTTGCCCAATTTCGGGGTGACTTTTAACAGATTTTAGCAAATGACTTGCACCAATTTAGTTCTTTTAAATATCCAAAAAAAACTTTGTTCTGAATACTTTTTGTCCAATGTTAGCCCAAATTAGAAAAAAAACGCTT